GAATTGCCAAATGTCATGGAGTTTTCTTGTCCTTACTTTTCAGGTGTTTGTCCCTATTTCTTGGCAGAAGTATGTACACAGGCGTTTCGCTGACTGTAAGGAATATCTACGTTAGTGTGTCGCATGATTTAACTTCAGTTCTGGGAATGTACAAGCATTTTCTACACGAGCTTACCCGTCTTGGAGATCTTGCTCAGCTCCTTTTTACAGATGTCATCCAGGCTTTCTTTCATCTCTATGGCTGTTTTGCTTATTTCTCCAAAGGAGAACTGAGGATTGATGAGAACTTTAGGCACCATGGCCTCCGGAGGAACACACAGGGTGGGAAAATTCTGTGGAAGAGAAAGGAAAGAGTTTCGTCAAGAGCTCTGAAACAAAACCGAGGTGTAGCTTAGTCTTAACCTGATTCGTCGAGACCTGGTTTCCACCCTGTACACTTGAAATATATTACAGAAATGGCAATACAATTTAGGGATGACGAGGAATCCCTCTATCAAAAACCAACAGATTGAATCCAGCATTTTGAATGAATGCCTTATGTCATTATTTCCTATTAGAAATACTTGAGTGTTGGAAATGTATCAGCAAACAGATTTGTCTGATCCTTTGGCACCTGCAGAAAGTGAATGTTGTCTTCTGTTTCCAGGATCTGTCGCAGCTCAGCGTCTCGCCGCTGCAGCTCCATTATCTCCTGCTCAAGGCGCTCGACGTAGCCGTCGGCCTGCGTCATGGCCGCCTGCATGTTGGCCATTATCATCTGGTTGATCTCAGTCTTCCAGCGCTCCACTGCCTGCAACATCTCATGGAAGGTCTTATCGCTTTCAGTCTGCGCACGATGGGCAGCATTCTGAAGAAATAAAATAAAATAAAAGTTGATGTCACACAGGGTAAGAATGCTCTCAGATGCGATGGTGAAAGATAACTGTTACACTTGTTTCTTTAATGTCTGACTTACTTTTAGAACCTCCACATTGTGCTTGAGCTCCTGCAGCTCTTTCATCCTCTCTGAAATGATGTGCTGCACTTCAGACTGGGTCAACACCAGAACTTTCTGAAGGAAAAAAAAATACACACCAACAAGTCGTTCCGCATCATTTTAAGGACGAGGTACTTTTAGCCTTAGTCGCTGTTTTTCTCTTTAGACTCTGCATTTGATTTTACATTTGAAGCAAGATAAAAGTACAAAAATTCTCAGATTTAGATTTCAATAGTGTCTGCGACTTGGTACCTAAATCCATAACTTTTTCTTAGTCTTTGCCTTCTAAAAAAAATCCCATTTTTGTGAACCAGCAACTCGTCGACAAAGAGCCACACATTTCTCTTTTGATCCAGAACGGATTTTGAACCAACTTTTTCCACGAATCTTGACAATTTCCTATCAACTTTATGTTGCAAGCACACTACAGTCTCTTTTGTATCACTTTTCAGGCCCATGATTTCACAGCCTAATATGTTAACAATCTAACCTATGTATCTAACCTCATTTGTCATCTCAAGGTCAAAAGAGTGAGACTCTTATTTTGAAATAAGGAGATCAAGAGAACTTTGCACTTTTATGCAGTGTGTTTGTGGTTATACAACCCGCTGACCTGCTGTACCAATGCAATGCTGAAAAAGACACAAAAGGTTTCTACGTTATCTGTAATGTATAGGGGTGGTGGGCTAGAGGGGCGCCAAAACGATATGGCAGAAAAAATATCTCTAGTTGGTGTGTGATATGTTTTTTTTTTCATTTGAATCCTGTTATTGTCTGATGACTTGGAGCTAAACAAAGAGAGGCAGAAAGGAAAGGGGTCAGAAAATCAAAAATGAACTTTTCAAACTTTTCAAAGCGGTTGACAGGCAGGTGAGTTTTGTCAGTCTATCAAAAAAAATGCTTGTCAATATTCAGGTTAAGTTACCAGTAAAATAAAATCTCTTGGTCGTCTTGCAACTTTGTGCCATAGCTACAGATGTCTCGGGTTGCATTATCCATAGCTGCGCCCCTGCATGCAGGCCACACAACCCACAAGCCGAAGCCGTCAGAACTCACTTGTTTCTCAATGCGCTCTTCTTCCGCCGAGGCAATGTTGTGGCTGCGGTGCTCTCTGACAGTACACAGCACGCAGATGCACATCTGGTCAGAGCGACAGAACAGCTCCAGGCCCTTCTCGTGCTGGGGGCAGATCTTCCTGTCCAGGTGGCCCGTCTCGTCCACGAGCTTGTGCCTCTTGAACGTGGACGACTCGTAGTGAGGCTTGACGTGCGTCTCGCAGTAGTAAGCCAGACACATGAGGCACGACTTGACGGCCCTGTTGCGGCGGCCGACACAAAAGTCGCAGAAGGACTCGCGGTGCATGTACGGGAAGGGGGTGAGCTCCGGAAGCTGCTGGCGGGGCTGCTGCTGGTGCTGAACATCTGGCACGTTGCGCCTCAGGACGGGCCGCGGCGTGAAAGACGCGCGGCACTGAGGGCAGCCGTACACGCCCATGTGGTCGAACTGGTCCCAGTAGATCTTGATGCACTCCAGGCAGTAAGTGTCCCCACAGGGGATGGTGACCGGGTCCCGGAGGCCATCGGCGCACAGGGGACAGAAAGAGTCTGGTGGGAGCGGGAAACCCGAATCAGCCATGTTTACCAACAGAGGTAATTGGTTTTTACTCCAATTAAGTTCTTATGTGAAATAGCAGTTAGTCAAATATTCCCAGAGGAAGGTCCACAAAGAGTTACTCCATGGACACGTCGGGACACCACCTGTCCTTCTAGAGGAACGCTGCGCTCTTTTTCTGCTGACATTTAAAGGCAAGGCTTTGTTTCTACCACAAACAGTAAACTGACCTCTTCCCACACGACTCGTTTTCATTTTCTGATCAAAAGTCCTGACGTCTGCACCCGTGGTGAAATGTGCTTTTCAACTTGAATACCATCTTAAAGTTAAGGTCAAGAAATCAGCAGACTCAAAGAATCTTTTGCCACCTAAAATGTAACTGGGTGAATGATGAAGAGTGTGTGTCTTGTGTTCTTCATGTAGAGATTGCGAATGATTTTAGGCGAGAGTGATGGATATATTACAGTTTGAAATTAAATATAAAAAGGGCTACAGGGTACTTATTTTCTTCATTAATCTTCAAGTGGTAAATGGACTGGACTTAAATACTGATAGTGAAAGAAAAGAAAACAAATCTGAAAGTTCAATTGGAGTTAAGGACTTTATTGGGTGCAGGGCAGCCAATGTGTGAGGTTTCCACGACCATAAAATTAATATTATTCATGAAAAAGATACAGTTTGCGCTTATTGGGCTGTGGAAGTTTGAACCAAAAGTCCTTCACAGCCTTGAGCTTTTCATGTGACTGAGCGGTGAGTTTCATGGCGGTTCGTTGTTCCAAAACAACAGACTTTGTTTGTCATGTGAACAAGGGCCATGACATGTGGGCTCTCAGGAGCCAGTCTGGATGCTTCCCACAAGGTGAAAACAAGCCGGATTAGATAACAGAGAATACGTAAACAAAACAGACAAACTCCTAACCTAACAGCTTATGGCCCAATAAATACATAAGAGTATATAAATTAATGTATATATTTATAAATGTATTTATACACTGTGTCCAGTGCAGCTCTTAGCGTGAAACCCAACTGATTTACTTTCACAAGTGGAATATTCCAATTTTCACTATAATGCTTCGCCTATTCTGTACAAAATAACTTATTATTAATTTTATTTTTATTTTGTCATTATAAATTATGTTTACGGTGGCCCTGAGGTGCAACCGCCAATTGAACATTGTCTTGTGCTTCATTTATGTTGTTGTGTTGCTCAGTTTGTTGAAGTGCCTCGCACCTCAGGGCCACAGCAGTTTGTCTTCACAAAATATGTATTATTACAAAATGTTGTGAGTTGAATCAAGGTTTAATGTATCAAGGTAGATATATTCTTATTTATATGGTAGACTGATGTTTACACTCTGAACCTTTTCTTTATGAAGGTTAAATATATAATTTCTGACAGCGTGACCTCAGGAGTAAAGCTTGCTGCTAGAAGAATTAGCAGTAAACATTCGTGGGAATTTTTTACGGCATCATCTTGAAGCGGTTTGTTTAAGATCACAGTTTTTGATGACATAAAGCTCCAAGGTTTATTTGAATTTCCCATTAAGGACCAGCTTTCTGTTGTCTATTCTCTTTGTTCTATGAAGGGCCGCTCTCATCTTTTCCTAAACAAGGCAGTTCTTGTTAAAACAATGGCTGGAGAGAGAATGAACGAAAGCGAGAGAGTTGCAGGGGGATGGATGAGGGCAGCTGTCAGCTGGGTTGTGAATGTACTGGTATATATATATATATATATATATATATATATATATATATATATATATATATATATATATATATATATATATATATATATATATATATATATATATATATATATATATATAAAGTGTGTCTATATGTATTGAGTTCCAAAACTGAAAAATAACATCTAATAAACAATGACTGGGGAAAAAAGGAACAAAAATAGAAATTGTGAGCATTTGTTTGTTAAAATTCCATTTAAAACATGCAATTTTAAGACGTTTACTGGCTATCAAATTAGCTCTCATCCTAATAGCTATCCAATCAGGATGTGTTGGCTATGTAACTCCAAAAAGTTGTATTATTTTTTTCCTTAATTATTTGGTATTATTATTTTTTTAATGTATCCTCTGTGAAGAGGGAAAACAGAGAAATCATGAAGTTAAAAGTTGCAGCAAATACTCCAAAACTGAAGAACAGTAGGAGAATGTATCAAAGGCTGGAAACCTCATTATGTCCTCCAATGTTTGCATGACGTTAAGAATAAATAAATCGGTCCATATAGATGCACAGTATCATTGTCATGGCAACTCGAGGGCTTCGTATGGCATTGGGATCTGGGATGCTTTCAATGCCTCTGACAAAGTCAGTCTTTTCAATGAAGCAGGAAGCTGGTGAGGCTGAGCAGACACTGGGAGGGGGGATGAGCGGGAGCGAGCACCAATGACGTCATTCACTGTGCTGGTCGGTACTTTCTCCCCTCTCAGCCTCTTTCTCTCCGCGCCTCATCCCTCCGGGGAAGCAAAAATCTGGGAGTGGCAGGAAGGAGGAGAGCCAGAGGACGAAGAGGAAAGCAGAGGTGAAGCAGCTAAATATTGACGTTGCATCACTGCGTTTACGACAGCAGGTACGTTTTATGTGCTGCGTTTCAGGCATCACCGCTGTGGCAAAGGTCCTTGTAGGATTACGATGAAAGGCAATGGGAGTGATATTTTTTAACTGTCGATATGTGGGGCACTACTAGGAATTAGTGACTGTTGATTTTCAGTTTCTAGTTTAAAGGAGAATCAAAACCATCTCAAAAATGTCACATTTCTAATCAGTGTTTTTCATAATGCTTGTATTTGTGGGTATATTTTGATCACCTGCAAAAACAATGGAAGGTTTTAAGGAGAGATGGGGTTATGTGAAATATTACTTCACATAGGTCCTGCAGAGTTACACATATCTTTCACTATTGATTCACATTGATCAGCTGATATTCAGTTGAACCGTCCGCTTCATAGTTCCTTTTAGGATCATGGTTTTGTTTCAAACCAACAGCAGCTGTTACACTGCTCTATTGTAGACGCAGACTTCGCTGTAACAGAGAAGAAGAATAGAAGCTCTGAGTTTAGTTCAATCACTGTAAATTGAGGAACAGAGAAGCCATTTGGAAACTGACTTGATTGAATTAAATTGGCTTGAGTGCAGCTGCAGCAACACTTACATAATGATGGATAGCATTGTGTATTAATGTGTGCGCGCGCGTATGTATGTGTATATATAAATATATGTATATATATGTATATGTATATATATATATATATATATATATATATATATATATATATATATATATATATATATATATATATATATATATATATATATATATATATATATATATATATACATATAGCTATATATATAGATAGATATGCATATATTCATCTATATATAAATGCAAGTGTGTGTGTGTCCCTGCATAAATGGGAAAGGGAAAAAGAAGACGTTCTTTATGGTCATCATTTTTCTGGCAAGGAAGCAGACAATTAACTAATGGACCTCTTATAACTTTATGATATAAAATTTTATCATTTGTCTTTAGATACTTTAAAGCAGCTCCCTTTGGGTTTTTGTGTTACATTTAATGCTAAAATTACTTTGAGATATGTGAAACATATGTAAGGCATGAAAAACGGGATTTTTGAACATTTTCTCCAGTGTAAACTTTTTGGGCAGATTTTTATTTATTTTTTTGTCATTGTAATCATTTCACGAAGATTGAAGTGTTAGATTCTGCTTATTGTACAATACACAGGTTTCAATATTTGATCCATGTGTTTGGTAATATTGTACAAAAGCACATTTATAAGCAGCAGCCACTTTGTTAAATCATCAGTAGCCATCCAGCTGATAATTACCAACATGTGGTAATTATCAGCACCACTTAATACGTAAAAAAAAATAGTAAAGCTGATACTTAGAGATCTAATGCATTTGCATTAATAAAGTGTTTTTATGTTGCCATTTGTAGCTGAATGACGGAAGAAGTTTTATGTGTGGAAAGTGCAAAATGTATGGCATAGGAAATAATCTAATGTGAAAAATGTTCAGATGTGAAACACGTGGGAAACTCTTTCACATGTGAAATTGACTTTGTATGGGGTGAGACATTTTACCTTTGACAGCCAAAAAGCGCAGTTGACAAATATTAAAGCAAAAATATTTCAGGTATGACATTTTGTACTGTGCAGTAACATAAAGTACTCAGGAAATGCAGTATAAATGACCATTGAATACAATCACAGCAAAAAAATTAAGATGTGAAAAACGTGTGACGTACAGGCAAAACGGGAGGGAAAACTTTACCTGTGAAAATGTTCTCACACATCTTAGACATTTTTCTATAACTATCCAACTGTTTTTTTTTTGGTGTTTCACATGTGATGGCATCAAAGAAAACAATTTGAACCTTTTGTGATCCTTGTCAGTGTTCAGAGAATGTCATTCACCATGTCGCTGTCATTATTTAAAGCTATTATTCTCAGTAATAAATACCTGTGCGTCTGTCTCAGCATGGCCGAGGGCACGGTGTCGATGGCAGAAGTGGAGACGTCCTTCCAGAAGTTTGCCGTCCATGGAGACACCAAAGCAACCGGGAAGGAGATGAACGGAAAGAACTTTGCCAAGATGTGCAAAGACTGTCACATCATAGACGGCAAGAACGTCACCACTACGGATGTCGATATAGTTTTCAGCAAAGTCAAGTAAGACCGAAGCGAGGATTCAGTTGAAATAAGAATATATGTATTTATAAGTGAGCAAAATGTCTCAGCAGTAAAGAACAGGAGTGTCTGTTTCATATTTGGTGATTATTCACACCTGTTTGTCTTTTTCAGAATATTGGAATAACTATTTCGCATAGTCACATGAAAATGTAACAGCGCGCCATTTGGTTTTACTTTGTTCAAAGATGTCTTTGAAGCGTCATTTACTTAATAGCTTATATACCAGAACTATGTCTCCCTACAAATTATCTTCACAGAACCACGATGTGACATGTCTAATTTTGTCACTTTGAAAAAAAAACAAACAGCTGGAGACACGGTGTGTTTTCATAGGGCAAAGTCAGCTCGTGTCATCACGTTTGAGCAGTTCAACCAGGCCCTGACGGAGCTGGCTCCAAAACGATTCAAAGGCAAAGGCAAAGAGGAGGCTGTTCAGCAGGTCTACGCTCTCATTGCTGGGAAGGATCCTGCCAACGCCGGCGTCACTGTACGTAATCTGGACCCGGGTGAACCCCCAACCTTGATCAAAACTAACAGAGCTGGAGTTAAACCAGTTCTGTTAGTTTTAACAGAACTGCTGAACATAGCTGAGTTGATTGACACCCATTTTATTTGATTTTGCACATTTTTGGTTGACCTCTGATGACCTCCAAGGAGGCTTGTTTTTGTTTTTTTTGTTTTTTACTAATTTCTTTAAAATGATCAAGATAAAATGCAGATTTTTGCTGCAAAAGTCGCACAGATGTTGCTAGATTTGGGTAACATAGGGCAGCTGGTGACCTTTTGACCTTTAAACTTTTATTATCTTCAAAACAAAAGCAACACAAATGTTTTGCTGCACAAATATAGTCCAGTTGATTGATGCCAATTTTGTCTGATTTGAAGAAGGTGTGGGGGTCTGGTTGACCTTTCATGACCCCTGGAAACATTTAATATTTAAAATGCTACCGGCACAAACTAAATTTAGCTGCACCAACCAGCGAAAGCATTTGACATTAATTTCACTAATGAGTTTTACACTTTGCATTGTTGCGAGGCATAACCTTAGCCACAAGGTTATTTACAACAAGAAATAGTGAGGTCATCAGATCATAAAAGTTGGCTTGGCTTCAAGCCCTGACAATCATATTTATACCAGCAGATGGCAGTAGTGCATAACATATTCATTTGACAATGCAGTGAACTCAAGGCTGACTGTTTTCTGTGTTTTTTTTGGGGGGGGGTCTTTTAGAAAGTTGCGAAAGCAGCAGCGGTGGACAGACTGACTGACTCATCCAAGTACACCGGCTCACACAAGGAGCGCTTTGACGACTCGGGCAAAGGGAAGGGAAAGGCCGGGCGAGAGGACATTCCTGACACCAGTGGATATGTGGCCGCCTACAAGGGTAGTGGCTCTTATGAGGAAAAAGTTAAAAATCCATGATCAAATAAAACAAACAAAAACATTTACATAGCCAATTTTCTCAAAACTTCTGGGAGGAGCTAAAACATGACGCATGACATCTAAAGATATCATATAATGTATATTGCTGGCTGTTATTTAGCAGGAACCAAAGAAAGAATGGTTGCTTCCTAGAGCAGGCCTGCTTTACTTTAATTCTGCCTTACAATAGTTGCCACTGTAAAGGCTTTGAGACATTGTGCTGTTTTACTTAAGCTGTATTGACTCAATGTTAATGAATTGTTAGTTTTGAGAAGCTGTGCTACTGAGAGCCACTTTTTATTTGCTGCAGTTTATATTCCCATCATGACAGTAGCAAAAATAATAAATGACATTCCCTTTCACGTTGCACTGACATGAAAACAAACAAAAATAAACTATATTAACCTTTACAGATGAAGTTGTGGTAACAGAGTCTTGATGTGTTTTATTTCTTTAAAATTTGTGTCGTTGCTGCATTTTTAATCATTTGAAGCTCTTTTTATTTTTTAATTTCTGAAGTAAAATGAAAAGATGAAGTGAATTTTTCTAATCTGGAATATTTTTAAGACTGGTGAAGATCTACAAATAATTTATAATGAATTAATCTTTTGCTGCAGTGATTTATCAAATTCAAAAATGTAGGAAAAATGCAACCTTACTTTCAATACACACTGATGAATGTTTTGAAACATTTACCTCCACAAGAGACCTGGAGAGGTTTGTGATAGTGAAAACAGGGTGGAGTTTTAGAGTTAGGCTAAGACTAAAACAAAGTCGTATTACAACAAGAAATACATTTTACAATAGTATCTATACTTTTGGCAGAACAGAGACACAATATTGCCAGAAGAAAGTCTTAAAGTTATGAAAAAAAAGTTGTTTTATTGAGAGAGAGAAAAAAAAAGAAAGGTTTTTATCAAGATAAGATCTGACCTGACCAGACCTGGAAGTCCGTGGTTCTGTTTTTGAAATGGACAGTCGTTTAAATAATTACTGCGTCTCATAGTCTGATGCCCCGAAAGATTATTTCCTTATTCTTAAAACAAACTCAAGATATTCAGTAATCTTTATTTGAAAGCAGTTTGGAGTAAAAGCCTCATGAAATACAACTTAATCCTCATATTAAAAAAAAAAACTATTTTGCCCCTACACAGAAAGAGCCAGGAAGTAGACAGATCCTATAGACAGTGGTTCCCAAAGAGTCTCTGGGCGCCCCTATCGATTACAATAAAATGCTCCCCAAAAAAGAAAAAACATATATAAATAAATAAATTAACAGAGGACATACATCGTTCATCCATAGCCCTATTCACATATTTTGTTTTCATACTCCTCTGAAGTTTATTTCACACTTCAGGTTGCAGCAAAAAACATTACAAATCATCTTGTAGTGCAAAATGTCATGCACTTTCCATCTCTGTTGACAAGCAGAAATACAAGTAGTCTTGCTGCAAATTTTGCACTAAAATGTTAAAAAGTTAAATACCTTTTTGAAAAAGATTATGCCTGTAAGTAATCAATGTTTATAATCGTGAAGGTTTAAAGGTCTAAAAATGTAAATTTAAAAATTATTTATTCGGCCAGGGTGGAGTTTGACTTTTTCCCAAAAGAAAAAAAAAAAGAAAAGCCTTCAAATGCAAGTTGACATTGAATTGTGAAAATTTATTCCAACAGTTTACTTCCCAAACGTTCTAAAAAAAAAAAATACACGTACACCCGTTTTTGAAACACAACGTGGCTCCAGTCGAAGAAGATCCCAGTTTAGGTTGGACAAAGCTTTCTGTGTGCTCTGAAGTTTAAACAGCACGCATTTCAAACAACACTTAAAATGATCTCAAACAAGACGCTTGAAATAAGTTTGTACACACCATACAGATATAACCAGAAGTGTTTGCATATTAAGATTAAGGACATGATTAAGTTATAATAAAAAAAACCACATCCAGCAAAGTGCATGCATTTTTATGAGATTTATTAAGACATAATAGTCAAACAGGAAATATAACTGATGTACAGAGAAATTAATTCCAGCTATGAAACATCTTTTTTTTGTCTTTTTAAGACTGTTGGTTCAGTTCAGCACACAAACACAGAACCATTTCACAACAAATATCTAATATATAAAACAGTTCAAATGTATTCATTATCACATCCTACTTGTCTAATACAATTCAGTCAGATTCAGACTAGGCTACACAAATTAAATTGCAGTTTAAAACATTAAAATACAGATTATTATTTATGGAAGTTGTTAATATTTTTTCTAACAAACAGGAACAGCTATTTGCTTCAAGCAGTCAGGTTAGTATCTTGAGAAAGCTTTAGGTGACGATGGGAAGAAATGATCTGCTTTCAGCAATATATTGATGTATCAACAATCAGTTAAATATCAGGAATTTAATCTCAGTCTGCCATTATGGGCTGTGACAAAGAAAAAGGATTACCTTGATGAAGTAGAAAAGTAAAGTGGACATGAAGTTATTAACTGTAACTGATGTCAATTTTATAAGATTTGTTTTACTCTTGAAACTGTTTCCTGATTTAAATTTTTACATGTTAAAGACTGAAAATGTGAATTATTCACTCTTGTATGCTTCTTATGATTATATTTAACTACTTCTAAAAACTCAAATTGGGCAGACTATACCTCACTTATGCCTAACTTTGCACAACGCTTCTTTCTGGAGGATATTTTATCACAAATCTGACTCTTCAGAGAGAGCACAGTTTAAAGTGGAACGTGTTTCTTTTATGCTCTTCAGTTTGTAGACAACCTGGCATGGGAGGGAATTCTCCCCGGACCTTTTCTGTATGTCTGTCACCTTAAAGACCTCATACGGAGGGATCAGGACCTCGCGTTCCGATTCAAACTGGGAGAACTCTGAGATGCCTGCTCCAAAGCAGGTGGTAATCTCAAAACATGACTGGTCGCCAAAAACAGGAGAAGCATAAGAGCCCACTGAGCTGGAGGTAAAGCCACCCAAGCGAATCTCTCTGTTGATACTTGTTTCAAATTTGCAGTTGGTTCTCCGGTAGGTGGTGACACACTCTGGTGTCTTGCGCTTGAGGGAGCGTAGGGCCATGGTGAGGTAGAAGTGTAGCGCATGATATTGAAATTTGGTCGTGTACTCAGAGTTTTGTGTTCGGACCGCCTTATTGAATCAGCATATATTGCCAGGGTGTAAGCATGAACAGCCATAATTTGTTCTTTCTTCAGCGTTGAGGTGGCGCTTGCCCATGTATTGTTGTAGTACTCCTCTGATTTACTCCAAGCCACTCCAAAAAGTCCTTTTTTCTCCTTATCTAACCACTTTGCCACTTTTTTTTTCCATCTCATCTTCACAGCCGTCGTACATGTCATCGACAGAGTTTGGAGCTAAATCCAGTGGGAACGAGTCGCTCTAAACAGAAAACAAAGGAAACACGTTACTGATTATTAATATTGACCATACGGGCATTTGCTTTTATTAAAACATTCCCCAAATAATGCACCCCTTACCTTCTGCTGTGCTGCCAGAACAACCATTCCCAATCTGAAAAACAGAATAATTACTGCTGCCAACAAGACACGAAGAGACTTTTTGGATAACAGCATGTTAAAGATTTCTCTGTGAGTCAGTCACTTTATTTTAAAAAATTCTGTGGTTTTCCTGTTTCAATTCCCAATCGAGCTGAAATGTTGGATGCTTCTCAGCTGGAAAAGGCTCTTCTTCACGTTTTCTTTGGTTGGTTTGTCAAGAAAGAGGAACTGTCAGAAACAAGTAGTGAAAAGAGCAGGTATCTTAAACAACGTTATCAAGAATTATGCTATGTGTAATCAGAGTTAAAATGTCTCCTCTACTTTTAATTTTGTAATCTTAATATCTTTTCTATTGGGTAACAACTTCTTGACATATTTTTTGATCCATCAGTTTTAACAGCATATTTTCTAATATCTCTCATTTAAAAAACAACAACAGAAAAAAACTACACATTTCATTGTTCTGGTATATAATGCAACAAATTTGAAGAAACAACCAAAAAAGTATCCGTACCTGAGATGTATAAAATCCGTCTCTATGAATGAAGGCTGACAAGGAAAAATTCCCTTTCTTTCATTACATTACCCTTTCTGTAATGAGAGGGTAGAGAAAACTGCTAAAAAATGATAAAAATTGATCTTTGTCTTTAAATGTTTTATTGAAAGCTTTTGACTCTGGGAGTCAGAGAAGTAGAGCCCCGAAATAAAGTTGTACATGAACCTTTATACACTTCACATTTAGTCACACAGGCACATAGAGGAAAGAACATGAAAAAGGGGAATTACTGTCACCTTCTGTTTTAGAAACAGAAAAAAAAGCTCGATACACAGAAATACGCACAAGCGGTAACCTGCTTGCTCTGTGGTTTTCACCAAGTGCTCTTGCGTCATGCGTTGTGTTAAAACACTGTTTGTACGCATAAACCTGCAAAGGAAATCAAACACATCTATAACTATAAGAATGCAGACATATGTCTCTGCATACTCTCTGCCAGGTCAATCTTTTTTCTTGACCTTATAAAAAAATCTGTTTTTGTTTTCATTCATTACTAATGTTTATACCAGCAGATGGTTATAGTGCATAACATGTAAAATCAGTAAAATCTAGGCTGATTGTGTATTTAGTTTATTCCTTTTTGTATTTAAACTGAATGAAGTGTGAAGTTTGTACCCTGCTTACAACTGAGGAAATGGGAAAGGAAAGTGTACTCAAAGTTTATGATTGTAAAACAAACAAATGTGCCCTTCAAATATTTTGTGTCCCTTTTATAAAATTAGTTTTTATAGTGAAAACTTTCCTAATTTAAAGTTTTGCATAGAAGGACCTATAAAAGTCATTTATCATCATATCAAACTTATTATGTGTGGAAAAAGAAAAATTGGGGACATAGCTGCTTGTACTTATTGGGACATTTCATCAGTAATCTGGCAGACAGTCTTCAGAGAGAGCACAGTTTAAAGTGGAACGTGGGGTTTTTGTGCTCTTCAGTTTGTAGACAACCTGGCATGGGAGGGAATTCTGCCCGGACCTTTTCTGTATGTCTGTCACCTTAAAGACCTCATACGGAGGGATCAGGACCTCGCGTTCCGATTCAAACTGGGAGAACTCTGAGATGCCTGCTCCAAAGCAGGTGGTAATCTCAAAACATGACTGGTCGCCAAAATGAGGAGAAGCGTAAGAGCCCACTGAGCTGGAGGTAAAGCCACCGAAGCGAATCTCTCTGTTGATACTTGTTTCAAATTTGCAGTTGGTTCTCCGGTAGGTGGTGACACACTCTGGTGTCTTGCGCTTGAGGGAGCGTAGGGCCATGGTGAGGTAGAAGTGTAGCGCATGATATTGAAATTTGGTCGTGTACTCAGAGTTTTGTGTTCGGACCACCTTATTGAACTCAGCATATACTGGCGGCTTTTCCAGGGTGTAAGCATGAACAGCCATAATTTGTTCTTTCTTCAGCGTTGAGGTGGCGCTTGCCCATTTATTGTTGTAGTATTTTTGTGCCGCATGCCAAGCCCTTCTAAAATCTCCCTTTTTCTCCCTATTTAGCAGACTGGCCATTTTCTTTTCCATCTCGTCTTCGCAGCCGTCGTACATGTCATCGACAGAGTTTGGAGCTAAATCCAGTGGGAACGAGCAACTCTAAACAGAAAACGAAGGAAACATGTTACTGATATTAATATTCATTATGACCATATGTGCATTTGCACTTATTAAAACATTCCCCATATAACGCAGCACTGACCTGCTGTGGTGCCGGAGCCCCAATGCAGCATCCGAATGACAACAGGACCACCGTCCAAACCGCTGGCATTGCCATCTTGTGTCAGCAGAGACTAGAAAACATGACAAAAAGGAGCTTGTTGTTTAACACCGTGTTAAAGATTTCTCCATGGGTCAGTCAGTCTTTATTAAAAAATAAAAAATTAAAAAAACAAAAAAAATTTATAATATATGAATAAATAAAGCAGTAAATGGCTGCAGCCTGGGACTTTGGAACTGTTTTCAAGCTCCTTCGAAACTCTGTGATGTTGTTCTGCTGTAGCTAACCCTCCATTTTCTTTCTCTAGATGACCTTCCCGTGTCTGAACTAAAATTGCATAAGACCAGCATGTATGTAGTTATAATAATCCAAGCGAAAGATGTGACTTACTTTCAAAAAGTACTTTGTGTAAATGTAGGACCTCAGTTAATTAATGCTTCTTGGCTGGAAAAAGCTCTTCATTTCGTTTTTTATCAGTGTCTCACATTAAGAGGAACTGTCAAAGTCCATGCCATGTTTTTTGTTTATGGACAGAGTAGGAATTTTAAAGATCTACAGTTCACTCTACTTATTTTGGAACAGTGGCTCCTGGTTGCACTTTTTGTTTCAAATTTCCCAAAGTTGATGGTGTAGCTGACAGCTAAGTAATAGGATGATGAACCCATAGACTCATAGCACCATAAAAATTTGCTTTAGGAAATCTTAGTAGGTCTATAAGTAAAAAAAAACATGTATGAACAGACACAAACATCTTAAACAATATCTTTAAGAATTATGCCATGTGTGATTATGTTAAAAATTTCTCCTCTACTTTAAATTTACATTGATAATCTTGGAATTTAGAATTTTCTATTTCTATACAACTTTTCATCATATTATCGATCCATCAGTTTTAACGCCATGCTTCCTAATATCCTTCTTTAAAAAAAATAATAATAATAATAATCATTATTCTGGTGTATAATTCAACACATTTGAAGAAACAAACAAAAAAAATGTTGGTACCTCAGATGTAGAAAATGCTTCTGTATGGATGAAGGCCCCCTGAAAAAACCAATTGTTTTTGCCAAAACACAAAGTAAAGCTTGAAAAAGAATGCTAAAAAAGTGAACAAAAAGAAGAAAAAGTACAAAATTCAAAGGTTTTGAAGGACTAAGCTCCAGAAACTGTCATCTCTCAATATCATTTGGGGTTTTATACAGAGAAAAGAAGGAGGAGTTCTCAAGCTAACCATCAGCTGATGATTTCCACACAATACCAAACACTCTCTTGAAGTCTCTTGTCAGTAGAGGAACAATATCACATAATTTTTCCTCTGCAAATTTCAATATCACTGTCCTTAAATTGAATCTTTTGGAGGTTGTGGCTTCTTCCTAGATGCCAATTTTAACTCATTGTTTGGCCTCCTAACTGTGACATTGACTGCGATGTGTAGAACTGATGCACGTCAAAGTCCCGTCAGCCTCTAACTCTAGTTCAGGGCTGTGGCAGCACACTGACCAGAGCCGACATGTTCCAGTGCCACACTCAACAAATGTCACTTTTCAACCAATAGGCCTGAATTGTTCCTGTTGGATTTAACTTGTTGCATTGTTGAATTTATTGCGCTTGTATTACTAGTGATTTACCACAGAGCTCCATGTAAGAGACCAATAATCTGTTAGGAAGCTGAAAGCATGTTAACATGTTCGTGGTACATTTAGGGGGGTTACTGAACATTTCTGTTCCTTTGAAAGCCTCATCAGGTGTCGTCTCAAGAGGTTGGAGGTGTGTGAGAGCGAGGAGGAAGTTCAAACGGTGTATGCTTATCAACCTTTAACAGCCCATCAATAGAAAGTGCCACATCATACCTTTATGTTTCTTGTCTTCCCATAAACTTCTGCTTTTCCAAAGACCTGTACGTGTCATGAACAACGAGTTCACCAGATGCTGATGAGTTCAGCTTCTGGCTGTTTTGATGCTTCGCCTGCCCATGTTGGGGCCTGGGTAGGTGAAGACCTCCCTCCTCACCAGAGATGAAAGATGAATGAGGCAGGGAGAAGGATGAAGGTGGAAGGAATGAGGGACAAAGATGAATGAGATGGAGGAAGGGGAATTTTGGATGTGGAGATGAGAAACAGAAGAAAAATTAGGCAGGGATGCAGGATAAGGACAAAATATGTATGGATCAGGAAGGTAGAGGATGGAGTAATTATGGGGGAAAAGGTAAAAAAGTCTAGGGTGAAGATGGTAGGTACAAACAAGGGGATAGAAGGAGACATATGAAGTTTCGAAATACATCATTGGTTGTGCAATCGTCATCGTTGGATTTCTTAACCACTCAAGTTGTTGAGACACATGTGTCATCATCATTTTATGCTGCTTTTGTGGCGTACACCAGACTCTTGTGCGTGACATGAACAAAAGAGGAGAAAAGTTTCTAACCGCAAACGGGAAGCGGTGATGTTTGTCACCAGGTGTCTAATCTGGTGTTTCATGCAGAGTTTGAGAAATGTACCGTACACCTGTGATTCTGCAGAGACCACTAAAGTCCTCATATCAGATATGTAATTCAAAGCAAAACTGGTCTGTCGAGGATAACAATTAAACATACACTGTCAAGAATATCTTCTTTTTTTTTCTACACCGACACATTTTTACAACTTGCATGCCAACGGCAAACATGTTACACATATTCACCGTGGCAATAATTTAGGTAACACCACATTTTAATTTACAAACACCTTTACAAATATCCTGTGTTTGTGAGCACTGTTCACACACAGCAGGGGTCCCCAAAGTGGGTCCTGGAGGGCCGACATCCTGCATGTTCTAGTTCTCTCCTTGCTGGCAGTGACAACCTTTTCAGAAGGTCAGTGTTTCTTCTTAGGCCTCTAATGAGCCGTCATTTGATCCACATGCGTTAAATCAGGGAGAGAAGGACAACCTGCAGGATGCCGACCCTCCGGCATGCCTGACATACAGGCATGAAACAGCCATGAATATGCACACTTTCACTAAGATGTTCAATTATTGACGAAGCATTTATCAAAGACAGCCGATCTTTATTTTACACATGTATTTATCTATTATGAGTACGTTTATAAAGTAAAAAAAAAAATCTATTTGCAAATCACTAGAATTACACCGTATTAACTTTATTGAAGTAGTTTTTATATTAAAACTGGGATTTCTTCACAATGAAATCATTAGTCAGCATTCTGAATCAAACTGTGTGGATAAGAATCATAAAAAATAGAAGTAATAAGTACATTAGATATCTGGAAAAAAGCAAACAAAAAATTTAGGATTATTGTCGTTTAAGGCCTGTTTTATGGACTCCAACACACCTGGGCAAGAAGCCTAAAATATAATGGAACAATAGCGCCATCAAGTGTTTATTTGATAACATCCCACTGTAAAAACGAAACGGTAATAAAAGAATAATAACAGAATAACAGCAGAGTTTAGATTTAAATGCTTTGCCATCCTGACAAGTGACGGACATGTTGGAATTTGAATTTCTGTCATTTTAAGTAAATCTGTGATTATGATAATTGTTATTTATTTGTCTATTGTTACCGATTACTGGGTTAAAAAATAATAAAAAACTTGCCAAAATGTCACAAAAGAAGCTGCAAAGTCTATCCTGTTAATGAAGATTTTTTTCTCCTTTAAAGCATTTTTATTTGCTTTTCATTTCATAAATCCTCATGATTTATTATTATTGTTTGATCAGTAATCCCAACTAACATTGTGCAGAGTGTTTTATCAGATGAAATGTCTATACCATATACCAACTTTATTTATAAAGCACTTTAAAACAACCACAGCTGAAACAAAGTAGAAGAAGATATAGGACTATAATGGGCTGATTTCTGTTTGTATTTATTCTGTATATTTTATTGGTTTTAGCAACAACTGATGACGACTGCTGGTTCTATTCCTGTCATAACTGGACTTACATTTTTACTTTTTATTTTTACATTGATTGTGTATCTCATATATATATATATATATATATATATATATATATATATATATATATATATATATATATATATATATATATATATATATATATATATATTATATATATATATATATATATATATATATATATATATATATATATATAATATATATATATTGTCTCTTTTGGGACTTGAATCAACCTGAACCAGAACCTTTGTATACTGATCATCTTTACTTGACAAGCAGCTCTAAACTAAAACAATATAAATTCAGTCAGACATATTTGTGGCGTGGCAACCAGATTTATTTGTATCGAATGCAATGAGTCATTTTACAGGAGCATGTGAAGAATAGTAGCTATGAAATGTATACAGATACTTTCAGTTTGCAGTCAAATGAGCTCATTTAGCGTGTTTTTTTTTTAAACATTTTTAAACATCAGTTAAAAGCAAAAATACATCTAAAGCCATGTTTGACCTGATTTCATAAAATGGTCTTGATGTTTATGATGGTGAAACTATGCATGTATTAGCTTTTATTCGAATTTAAAAATGCTTTTTTGATAATAAAGTAGTAATAAGACGGATAAGAATCAGAAATAATAGCAGAGTTTATATTTAAATGCTTTGCCATCCTGACAAGTGGCGGGTGTGTAAATCTAATCTGCTCTTCTGCATCACTAAAATTGGAAATCATTTTTAATGATCATGCAGTTTAGGTTGGACAGAGTCTTTTCTGTGCTCTTCAGTTCCAACTCAACTTTACATGGGAGGTTGTTGTTGACTGATCTGTGCTTTATGGCTGTAACTTTAAAGATTTCATATGGAGGAACCAGGACTTCTCCCTCGGATTCTCCAAACTTGGAGTACAGTGAGACGTCTGCTCCGAAGCAGGTGTGAATCTTGAAACAGGTCTCATCGCCAAATTTTTCTTTGCGGGGATACGTTCCCATCGAGCTCGAGGTGAAAGAGCCAAAGCGAATTTCTTTGTTGAGAACGCCCTCCAGCTTGAATTTACTGTTGACCCTGCGGTAACCGGTAAGACATCTTTCACGAGCGTTGAGAGCTCTGACAGCGCCCGTCAGGAAGAAGTGCAGTGAGTGATACTGAAACGTTTTCTTGTACTGAGCCCTCTGCGTTCGCACCGCGCTGTTGAATTCAGTGAATATTTCTGGTTTGTCCAGAGTGTAAGCATAGATGGCCATGTTTTCTTCTTTCTCCAGGGTTTGGGGTCTTTTCTTCCTAAGCTTGGGCTTCCATTTCTTATTGTAGTGTTTCTCCGCTTCGTCCCAAACTAGTTTAAAATTGTTGTTCATGTTTTTCTCGCTGGCCAAAAACTCTGTCTTTACTTTGTCCGCCATCTCCTTTTCGCAGCCTTCGTACATGTCATCGACAGAGTCCGGAGCCATGTCCAATGGGAGTGGAGTATCAGTCTGGGATCTGGAAATCTGCCAGAAGACAACAAGACAGATGTTACACATTTCTTTACCTTTATGTCTGAATCAAGAAACTCACAAATCTCCTCTTTGTCTAATTTTAAATTACCATTGCAGTTGAGACAGACGCTCCAAACAGCACAAGCAGGAACGTCCACATTGTCATCGTTGCCACCTTCAGCATTTAGCCCTGCAAAGACACAGCAAATGCAGATGTTTCATTTCCTGACATTGTTTGTTACTTACTATTCCCATTTATGTCATTTGAATGCACGATCTAAAGGTTTCACATAAAATAAAGAAGCAGGCTGAACTTTATTTGCCCCACACCGTATGTATATTTTTGGAATTGTTCTCCCAGAAGCAGCCGGACTGACGCAGAGAAACAAAAATGTTAGAAAGTTTCTTCTTCCAGAGCTACAACGATACATCTGGAAACTGACAGTACTTCTGCAAAACAAACAGTGACATAGCATGTTCTATCAGCCTGGCTGAACAAAAATAACTAGGCAAGTAAAATATATTAAACAAATGAATTAAAAAGTGTTTTATCCATAAATTAAAGCAAATTTCTGCCATAGGGAAGTTTAATTATTCTGGAAAATTGGAGAGTAAAAAACAGTCATACCTGAGTTTATATGAAGAGCTTCTGGAAGGATGAATATCAAAATATTAAAAATGGTTTCTGTGTTTTAGTTAGGTTGTTTATTTTCTTTAGGCAGAAAAATCCAAATGATGAAATAGATCAGGATCCAAAGAAAATGAAGTGAAAAGAAAAAAATACAGAAACACTGACCAAGTAAAATGAAGAAGCCTTCTGCCCTCCAGCCCTGATCTACACTGTTTTATATATAAAGCAGAAGCAGAAGTTCATCAGCTAAACTTATCTGCAGAAGAACACATTTCTTTCTTATTGCAAATGTAAACCTCAAAGCTCATGAGCCTCAGTCTTCTTCTGTTAATTGTCAGCAGCAGCTTCCTTTTTTTTTTTGCTAATCTTCATCTGTTTCAGATCCTTCTGTGTCTTCAGCTGCAGGCTGCATAAGCTCTTCGTTCACTTCTGCTCTTGAGCTGTTCACACCTTATTCTTGGTGACTTCTCTTTAAGTTGATTCGCCTCCACTATTCTTAGATCGTTTCTTTTCTACAGCCCTAATATGCACAACTTTAAAATATCTTAGATTTTAAAGACACAAAAATCAACAGATTGTGTGATAAACAGTCATTAAAACACTCACATCCCCCCTCCGTCATTATGGAATAAAATTGAACAAGCATTTATGAATGTTTCTTCTTTTGTTTTGATCCGGAGGCAGAAATATAATCGTTCTAAAATAATGTATAATTTAATACATGCACAATGCTGACATTCATTAAAGAAACAATACGCATATTTACATATTAATGTATTTATTGAAGTTGCACAGAATAAAGAAAAAGAACAGTATTTTCTTCCAGCAGAAATACTTTCACATGAGCAGAACGATGGTTTAAAAACTCTGTCCTCCAAGCAAACCCAAAGCTTCAGCTTGCAGCAGTCAAACGGTTCTAAGTAGCACAGAGAAGCTCGCCATTAGCTTTACGCTACAGCCTGAATTTCTGCATGTTTATTATAAGTGAGGAAGTTAATAGAGATCAATCTGAACTTTCTCTTTAAAGATCAGCCAGGTGTAAATTTAGAACAAGATGAAACTGTTTCAAATTAATGCACTGGAAGAAACAAAATCACAAAATTATTTGCTTTGCAACTTGGCAGTCAAGATTGCTCTGGATACGACTATGTTTCAGAACATAGACAGTCTCACAGTCTTCAAGTTCTGGAGGTTTTTCTGTGCTGATTATCTTGAACGTCTCATAAGGTGGAATCAGAACCTCCTGCTCATGATCTTTGAGCACTGGGTATTTTTCATATAAGCTCCATGACAGGTTGTAATTTTAAAGCATGTTGTCGTACCAAAGTGTGTCAGAGTTGATAATTTGGAGGAGGAGGCAAAATTACCAAATCGAATTTCTTGGTTGACTTCACCTGTTAACGTGGATTGGTTCTACGGAAAGTTGTGTAACATTCATTATGATTGTGTTTGAGGATCTGCATCGCTCTGGTCAGCCAGAAATGCAAAGAGTGGAAAGGAAAAGATGAACTGTATTGTTGTTTATTGGTCTTGACTGCATTATTGAAGGCCTTATAGAAATCTGCTGGTCCTCCAGCTGTGTAAACACAAATTGCTTGCATGTGATCTTTTGTCAGAGCTTCATCTTCTGGTTCTCTTTGTTTCATATTTCTACCTGCACAACTTTGTGCTGCGTTCCATGCCTTGCTGAATACATTATTTTTCATTTCTTTTACAAAGTAAGTATTCTTGACCTTTTTCTCCATCTGTGGAGCACAGGTAGAATACCTGTCATCCACACAGTTTACAACCATGTCCAGCGGATCACCAATCTGAAAGCAATGAGAAAAAAAAAATATATAAAAAAAATATATTAAAAAAAAAAAATATATATATATATATACAATATGTATATACATAAGACAAAGAGAAACACAGCATATAGATGAAATTACATTCACTTCACTTTCTTATTTGGAAATAAAAGTGATGTTACATGCTTCAATGTAGGAAATCAAATTTAAAAAATAACATAGCAAACTTAAAATCAAAATGACCTTTTATAAATTTTGTAAGTAGAATCATTTAATGTAAGATCTTCAACAAAAATAAAACTGCCCATGCTGTTGCAGTAAATATAAAACTTTACTTTGTAAAAAAAAAAAAAGAAAATCTTATATAAAGAATGTTAAATTTGCACTATGACACCAACAAAACTTACCTTCTCTCGTTGAGCATGAAGCAGGCAGCAAAGAGACGACCACAGAGAACCAATCAGGAAGATTTTGGCCGTCATCATCGCAATCCTGCAACAAATGAACAGTTCAAAAAAACAATATTTATCACCGCGATGATTATATATAAGGAATATTAGAATTTAACCTCACAGGAGCTCAAGCAAACACTATACTTGTATTTTAAAACCGAAATCAAATCTTACATTTTTCCAAAAACAAAGTTGTTCTGGATTATATTATCAAGAGATGAAGTGCAGACCAGATGGATTAGGATTTCTACAATGACTGCTCCTTAAATACTCTGCTGCCTAAAACAAGACCCACCCACAGAGACACATGGAAATACTTCGGAAACTTGTGGTCAACTTCACAAAGTAAGTTAACTAATGTGTGTCGGTGTGTTGCTGCTCTAGACTCTTAACTATAGTTTTATAGTGTAAGTAAGACCTGTTTTAAAGGGCTGGGCTCGGCCTGCCTGCTGGGATCTGAAGGTTGACGACACTCCAAGGAAAGATGACGGTACAAAGCATGATTGTCAGGAATTAGCAGAACAAACAGCAAACAGTAGAAATGATTTAAAAGATCTGACATTGGATAAAGGTGAAATGCTTTTTGTAGATGGCTCCTCAAGAAAAAATGAACAGGGAAAAACTCATACCGGGTATGCAGTGGTAACCGACAAAGAAGTGCTAAAAGCTGAAAGACTCCATTCACATTACTCAGCACAGGCTGCAGAGTTGATAGCACTAACCACTGCTTGTAAATTAATGAAAGACAAAGAAGCGACTTTTTACACCGACAGTCAATATGCGTTTGCAACCATTCACACCTTTGCCCAGTATTGGCAGAACAGGGGTATGATAACATCAACAGGAAAACCAGTAACACATGCAGGATTATTAAAAGAACTACTACAAGCTGTGCACCTACCAAAACACACTGCAGGGACAGATAAGGTGTCCCTAGGGAATGCTTTTGGAGACAAAATAGCAAAAAAAAAGCAGCTGAGGGAGAGATAAATGTGCTACATGTGGATGAAAAATCAAACTTATGAAAAGAAACTTTAAGAGACATGCAACAATTAAGTCCTCAAAATGAAAAAGAAGCAAAAATAGAAGGTGATATCTATAAATGATCTGCAAATAAACCTATCCTACCAAAAAATCTGTATAATTGGGATGTAATATAGAGCCATGGCGTTTCGCATGTCTCAACAGGGGGGATGGTAGGACAGATACATCAACATTATACTGTTTATGGATTTATTTCTTATTCAAAAAGTTTTTTGTAGGGCCTGCTTGATATGCGCTAACCATAACTCTCAGGGCAATCTAAGACTGCGTAGAGAAAAATTTCCTAACCTCCAATATCCATTTCAAGTAATACACATGGACTTCAAAGAATTGAATAAAAGTGAAGCAAAAAGTACTGTTTAGTAATAATTGATACTTTCTTCGAATGGATTGAACTTTTTCCCACTAAAAACCCAGATGAAGTGGAAAGGTCAGCTTGGATACATTTAACACACAGTAAAAAGGTCATTTCATTTCAAAAGTAATTTTGAAATGCTCAGGACGCTCAGCGACCTACAGGGCAAAGTCCAGGTCACAAAGGGGGTTAAACCAAATAGTTTTTCCGTCTCAAAACTGGTGAAGATTGTCCACAACCCTGCAGTGTCTTTAGGAGCAGAACGAACTTGCACATTAATGAAAATGACGAACATATTTTTTTGTTTTCATTTTGTGTTTTCATCTGGGAACAAATCATGTCATATTCTTGTAGCACTACTTACAGAATGAGGATAGGTATTCAGGTATGCTTTCCACCTAGATCTATTATCATTGTTTTAGTCTCCACGGCAAGTATGATGTCAGCAAACTACAGAGATTAAACTTGATATGTTTTTAACACCGGACTGTTCTCTCTGTAAACAATGACTTTAACCTGCTCTCATGCAGATGTCTGGTGGTGGTGCAGTGGTGACAAAATTTTTGATAGATTACCTAGGAAGGTAACAGGGATGTGTGCATTAATTCATTTATGATTGCCTGTTTCTGTTTACCATATGTCTGCAAAACATCTAATTCACACTTTGACTAGTGTTTTGTCTCAGCAGTGGCGTCATTGACAGAAACGAGACCTGCATGGAAAATAATGAACCAATATATCGACGCCATTGGGGTCCCTCGTGGAGTAACTGGTGCATATAAATTGGCCGACCAAATTGCAGCAGGTTTAGAATCTACAATTTGTTGGTGGTGCACGTTAAACAAAAACTTTGACAGAATCAACTACGTCCATTTCAATGTACAAAAACTGGGCAATTGGACACACAGTCAGGCTTCGAGGCGGTGCACGAGCAGCTGGCCGCTACATCACTGATGGCTTTCCAAAACCGCATTGCTCTCGACATGGTGTTGGCTGAACGAGGGGGAGTGTGTGCAATCTTTGGTGACAGATGCTTCACTTTTTTTACCCAACAACACAGCAGCTGATGGGAGCCTGACGAAGGCCATTGAGGGGCTCCGTACCCCTAATGGTCAGATGAAGGAGTTCTCTGGAGTGAATACTTCCAGGTGGGACGAATGGATGAATGTTTTTGGAAAATACCGAACCTTTGTGTCCTCTGATTTAATGTCGATGGCTGTCTTTGCTGCCATTCTAACCTTGTGTGGATAATTTACATTATTCGTATTAACCTATTGAATGACTTTATTAAAATTAAAGTATATTTGATGCATAAGGCAGAAGCAGAAGTTCATCAGCTAAACTTATCTGCAGAAGAACACATTTCTTTCGTATTGCAAATGTAAACCTCAAAGCTCATGAGCCACAGTCTTCTTCTGTTAATTGTGATCAGCAGCTTCCTTTTTTTTTGCTAATCTTCATCTGTTTCACGTCCTTCTATGTCTTCAGCTGCAGGCTGCATAAGGTCTGCGAAAACACACAAAACCAACTGAATTTGAGATACACCATCACCAACATACAAACACTAAACATTTTTTGCAAAAAAAACACATGAAATTAATTTTCAGTTTTGACAAGGGTGATTTCAACCCCATAGAAATAACCATGTTTTTATTCAGCTAAATGTGACACTAAGTGACTAAATACCTTAAAAACCATCAAATGATGCTTAGAGACGATGGCAGAGAGTTCAGGCGAATCTCAGCAGACATATAGACGATCAATTCAGATATTCTGTTATTGATTTTATACCAATTCCACTGATAAAACATCTTCATCAACCAGTTGCCACATTGAAACTATTGTTGATCAGAACCAAAGTCCTGGAACAGAATAAGCTGTGATTGGGTTATGAAGAAAATATCAATTGAGGACTAATGAATCAAATGTTAATATATTAATATGAAGACTAAATATTTTACATTCAAGCATTCTGGTACTCTTACAAGTAATAAGACTAAGAAGTTTAGCTTTGCTGATTATCTTGAACGTCTCGTAAGGTGGAATGAGCATCTCTTGCTCCTCGTTTCCAAACTTTGGGGATTTTTTTCAGATAAACTCCATGACCTGCAATTATCTGCAGTCCTTGGAGGCCATGCTAACCTGTGCAAAAAAACAGTTCAACCACCAACTAGTTAAAATCAACCTTAGAATTAAACAAAACATAATAATTTAAAGACATTTTGGACTTGAAATGATCATTTTTCATCTGTTTTATGGCTCTTTTAATTTGGCTTACAAAATGAGTACAGCTATGACTTTGCTTTATTTTATTTGGTGTGGTGAATTCACAAAATTCCCAATGTACAGTTACAGTACAAATATATACATTTAGGGGAAATATTCACCATTTTGTAGTTCATTTTTCAGCAAATACTTTTAAAGAAAATGTCTCTTGGGATATTTTAATATCTTACACGTGTTTATGATATAAATTAAGACTGAAGTTAAATAAGCAATAATATAAAAATGATCAGGACGGTCATAGCGCCCAACACAACAGCCACGTAGCGTTTCTGTTTGCGTCTCACAAGAATAAAAGAGTTTATCATTAGCAGCACAGCGCATGCTGACATGGTCACGGTGTTGCCTCCACCCAACAGGGATTCTGTCATCTTCCGACTCAGTTTGCAGTTTTGGTCTGTCTTTGGTTTCTTGGTGCTCTGAAGCTTGTAGACCACGCTGCACCACGGGTCGCCCGTCACAACGTCCGTGACCCGGAAAACCTCGTAGGTCGGAATGAGCACCTGTCCCGTCTGGTCGACGCTGGAGTAATGCGTGATGTCAGCACCGAAACATGTCTGGATTTCAAAACAGGAGACGTTGCCGTTGACCTCAAACGACTGCTTGCTTGACGCTGCCCAAGTGAATCCCCCAAAGCGGACGTTTGTGTCTATGACATTCTGCTTGAAGCGTTTCCAAGTCCTGAGGTGAACGGTTCGGCACTCCGAGTGGTTCGGATTCAGGGCTTGAATGGCATCGGTCAAGTAGAAATACAGAAAATGAAAGCAGAAGCCGTCCGTGCTGTACTCGTGTTTTCCCGTTTTCACGGCCGTGTTGAAATCCCGTCGGATGTTGGCCAGTTTTGTGAACATGTACAAGGACGTGGAGTGATCGTCTTGCAGGTGCTTGTGCACAGGTTTCTTGGCATGTCTCTCATGCAGAGCCCAGGCGTAGCTGAAGTTCGTGTTGACGTGCCACTCAAACACACCATACAGGTTGATGAGAGACATGGATTGAGAACGACAGCCATCATACATGTCGTCAATGGAATCAGGAGACATATCCAGGGGTAAGACTGCAGCGAACTGGAATGAGAGACGGTTGATCATGTGAAACACTTTCAGGAAATTATTGAAAATAAATATTTTCTTCAGTTCCTGAAATTTTTCTACTGTGGACAATATGAGTATTAGAGCAACAATAAGACAATAAAAAATCAAATTACAAGAATAGAGTCATAACAAGTACTGCTAGCATCATACTGCTTGTATCATAATGCTTTTCTTCAGGGATGATGAGACAAAACAATATGTTTTTACATATCTATTAAAACTATCACTATGTAGTGACAGTGTGGCATCAGATAATATGTGAAAAAATATTTGCTGCAGCCACAACAGAGGTCACCATGAATGCTAAAGCTAGTTAGTTGTGGATGTTTGAAGTTGGTGTCGTGACTCAAGTCTTTCACAGCCTGCAACAGCTTTTCTTCCACTACTGTCTGTTCTGCCCTCTGCAAGTTACTCTAACAGTTTAGAGCTCCATCTGGTGGTTGTTTGGTGGCATTGTTTTGGTTACCCTGAGAATAAAAATTAAGGAAGGAGGAAAATCCACATAAAAAAACCCAAATAAAATACAATGAAATGTGTAATTGTGACATGATAAAGTGTGAAAAGGCTTCAAGTGTCTAAATACTTTTGCAAGGCACAGTAGTAAACCGCTTCTGATCTTTTGGTTCATTTCAGGAAAACAAAATAATCTCACCTCATCAGGTCTCTGGTGCCACCACAGGATTAGAAACGGGTCGTTGTACAACAGGACCAGAACCAGCAACAGCCCGCAAAGAGGAACCAGGTTTTGGAGTTTGATCCCACGCGTTGATTCCCACCGAAACGTCATGTCTGGTTTAAAGAAATGACCGAGGAATTTTGTTGACGTTTTGAAAAAAACTTGATTGCTTTTGAAGATTAGCAATTTACTGTTGTCGAAGGAAAACGCGGGGCTTTTTTAAAATCTTGTCATCCACCTTTAGCAACAAAATGGAAACTTTTCAAGCTTACCTTTTTACTGGAAGTGGCTTCATAATCCATGCAGCACAAAAAAAGACAGAGGCCAGGAGGAGAACTGTTTTTTTCTCTCCACCGAAACTTTGCAGGACAGGATTTACAGGTGCGACTGCTCAGCCCACACCTTCAATAAACCTGCTACTCTAAATAACCAAGCGTCTGCATGCTGTTTGCACAGAAGTGACTGCTAGATAAGAAACAACTGATCCAGTTGACCTTTCATCTTACTCTTCTTTTGAAACTTCTTGCTTTAGTTTGCAGTTTACTATGCTGCACCATGCAGAATTGTTTTATTATCATCATTTGGATGCATTTGTATGTAATAAATAGAAGCACAATCCACTTCCTGTCTGTTTGCACGGCGAGAGGGAGATCCATCCACCAGATGGTAAAAACCAGTGAATCTGGTTCAGCTACCAGCTCTGGCTGACACAAACAAAGGTGAGTCATTCAAGCGCAGAAAACACAAAAACACACAACATTTACATGTAGCTTTCATCACAGCGGTGAACAGCATGTGGTAAGTTATCAAACTTATTTCCCCATTTATTTCACTCCACTCTGTATGCGGTTTGCCTCTGGTTTGCTTGAATATTGTGAAAAATCTTTGACAGATTGATGAAATCCATGGCTTTGCAAACTGGGCCACTAATTCTCCATTTCACCAGATTTTTTTTTTCTCACCATATACGTCACTTGGAAGTAGATCAAGTTGTTCTAAAAGAGTTTCGATTTCAGGGTACCGACTCAACTTACTCTGATTATTACATGATGTGTTTTCTTTCTTCCCCCAGATAAATGATGCAATCTCTGAAAAGGCAACAGAAGGCGTCTGCATGTGTGATTGCTTTTTTATGTTTTTTAGAAGGACTGCTTGTAGCTTTTATCATATATATTTGTCTCAGTTGGAGGGAAACTGTTGGAGAGGTAAGTCACAGTGTGTCTTATTTTTACCCAATTGTACTTTAAGCCGCAAATTATCAGAAATATAAAATGACTGATCTGGAATTTAAAATTCAAGAGCCTGATGTGTGTTTTTAAGTTACCACACAAGTCTTTGTCTGATTGTTTTTGACCATTTTTAAGTTGAAAATGTGCAACAGTTCTCCACGTGTGTTGCCGTCCCTTGAGCTCACTGGAAGCATTTTTTTCCTGTGCTTTTCAGAGTTCTCAACATCTGACCTCTGACCTCGACGACGACAAGTTTTCTGGCTGCAGCACCGAAGTCGTGCTTCTGAACGATGAGGCCATGGAACAAAAATGGCACAGCTGCAGCGCAAATTTCAGCAAAGCCTGGAACGAAGCAGAGCAAAACCTGAAAGAACCAGCAGAAAAGTACATGGAGAAAAGCCATTCTCTGGCTTTACACATGTTCACTGATGTGATGCTGAAACAGGAGAACAAGAACTCTGGACCTGCAGAAAATACCCCAAAACAAAGGGCCGCTTTCGAACCCATCTCCCTTTATTCCTCACTAAGTGAGGCGATTCTAATTTTAAAACAAAATCAGGTGATGTGTTTGAGTACAAACTACAGAACCAAAACTGTTTTGGAGCTCAACATCTCCACCGGTCAGGTCCGATTCAGTACCTTCATTTTAGGCTCTGATGATTGGAATTTTAAAGGAAATGTTTCATGTTTTGAGATATACTCTTGCTTTGGAGCAAACATAACTAAATACTCCATCCTGAAAAGAAATAACCAAGTGGTGATTCCTCCCTATGAAGTTTTTACAGTCACTGACGTTCAGAAACAAACTAGTTCATGTAAAATCACTTACAAACTCAGAAGTAATTTGAAGTGTGTTTATGACAAAGAGAGCAACCAGTTGTATTCCTTATCTGCATTACCTGTGGAGGGATTTTGGCTCATTTTCACCTTCATTTGTTTTGTCCTTCTGTCGCTTTTACTGCTCTGTGTTATTGTGAAGCTTTACAATAGAATCTGCTCAGCTGGCAGAGTTTCAAATTCACATCTATCCAGTCCAATTATAGCCTGTCATTTATAAATGAAAAGAGAAAATATAAACAATGTTTACCTCATGTTATTTCATTTGATGCAGCATTTTCCTTATCATCAGCCCTAGCTCACAGTATAACTGCAATATCATTGATTTTATTAACCAATCTAAATGCAGTTCGATCACTTTGGGAGTTATTTCTGTTCCTACGTGGAATGAGTCCGTTTTAAAATTTCTGTTTGGGAAATTAACACTAAAGCTGCTAAAATATGTCCACACTTCAACTTTCATTATATATGAATAAAAGTTTTCACATTAATGAATCAGGTTTCACAGTTTTGTCACTCGATGTGTTCAGGTGTCACTCAGAGTTTCTAGAACTCGTTTCCTCTCTGCACCACCATGTCGATGGCGTCGCTCCTGACCGCCTTGGAGATCCTCAGGGCTTTTCACCGTGACCCGTTGATCTCCAGCACCACGTCTCCAGCAGCATCGCAGCTGCAGAAAATCTTTATTTATTACACACAACTTTAACTTGGTTTCATTATATAGAAAACATTTGGAGGATTTTCCCTCTAAAAAGTAAAGCATCACATTTTGAGTTCTTGGTTGATTTCTCTGCAACAGACTGGCGACCTGTCCAGGGTGACCCCGCCTCTCGCCCGGAACGCAGCTGAAGATAGGCACCAGCACCTCCCGACCCCGTAAGGGAGATGGGTGCTCGGAAAATGGATGGATGGATGGTTGGTTGATTTCTTAAAATTATTTGTACAGTTTTAAAGATTTCTGATCTACGACACTAAAAAAAAATAATTATGAGAATAAAGTCACTGAGAAGTTGAAAAAATAAAGAATAAAGTAGTATTGCAAGAAATAAGTCAATGTTATGACTTTTTTCTGGTAGTATGGCTTATTTTTTCTTAGTAGGGCCCTAATACTCTGTATTGATCACACTTTTTACTCAACTTTAAAAATTAATCTGAATAAATTCCTGTTAAATCAGAATATAATCATTCAAAATATGTTCATCACATTTTATGCACAAAATCAGCCTTGAGCTGTTTTAGAGTCTCTGTCACTTTAAATTTGAATAGGCTCCTTCTGGACACGCCCCCAACTCAACGTTTACGTTCTCGCCAAAATGGCTGCCACTAGGTGCGCAGTTATACAAAATGGCTGCCACCAGTTGCGCAGTTAGACAAAATGGCTGCCACCAGGTGCACAGTTAGACAAGTGTACATCTTTGACTCTGAGTCAGACCCAAAAGCAGAAGAAGTGGAGCCTCCTGCACAGCGAACAAGAACGCAGCTGGTGGTTTCTGAATTGTAAGTCAAACACAAAACAGCTGTCTTTTCCAGCAGCCATTTTGCATAGCATGTAGCAGTAAAACTAGCTAACCTGCTCGGTTTGACTTGGGGCCAAAAATGCAACATTTATTACATTTTCAGCCGTTCACTTCCATATTGCACTGTGTCAAACAAACTAAAGATCAGACGAGTAATTCAAGTGTAGAATTATTGCTGACAGTTCAGTCAAATATAAATCTATTGTTAATCTCTTCATACTAAATAAATTTTAAAAATTAGTTCAATATTTAGTCACGACTTCATCAATAAATTTGAGTCATGCAGAACTGATCTGATCGTTTCTATTGCAACGATCAGAAGGAAGACCGTGGCACAGAACTACAGTGTGTTCATTGATGAGGTCATTGATGACATCACATACATCACAATAGATCAAAGATGTTCTGAGCCTTTAAATGTTGGAATCTCAAGACATTGAACATTCAGGATCCAGACATCGCCTTCATTATTAGTTTCGTAGCTATGATTAATTTCTCTCACGCTCTCGTGCCGTTTGCCCTGCCGCTCGGCTGGGGACTCGGATACATGCTCACTACAGGCATTGAGAAAATGTTTGATTATTTTAGTGACACGGATTCAGATTTTGATGGCACGGACATGGAAGAAACCGACCCGGCGGGGAAGGTTTCTTCTCCCACTGAGTCTGTGAGGGTCCCCAACGACCAGGCTACCCCGGCTGGGGTAGCCCTCTCACCCTCAGAGAGCTCTGCCCCGGCTGGGGTAGTTCTCTCTGAGGAAGAGAGCAAACTCGTTGGGGACAATGCAAGTCTGGCTGGTGAAGAGTTTTTATTCATATTAAATGATGTTCGTTTATGTATAATATAAATGTAATATTTTTTGATTCACAGTAAAGGTGTTTTTCTGTGCAGCTGAAAACGGTGTACAAACTAATGAACCAAGATGTGAAGTAAGTTTTCCAGGGTTGTTGAACTTCCCCAGACAGTTATTTGGGAACTCGCTGTTTTTCCCGTGGCCTTCCTTGCATGGAGATAGAGTGTTTAGTTTTCGCTTCCCATAGACATTACAGTGAATGAGTATACAAGGATCAATGGACCCGGAGGGGGACGTTGACCTTTTAGAGCAAATGTTTTGGGCAGAAAACATGCAGATGACAGAAGCTCCACCGGACACCGAAGAGGACAGGGACGTTTCAGAAAACCTTTGCAAGTTTTCAAATAACTTGACTAACAGCTGGGTGAACGCCGCGTTACAATCTGTCCTGAATCTGAGCGGGACGAAGCGATGTCTCGCTCAGGAGAAGATCTTCTTGGAGGCGTCGCCAATTCCCTCCTGCTCTGGTTTAATTCTATCAGCAATTCGCAATCCGGGCAAACATATTTCTCCCGAGGAGATAAAGCCCATCCTGGAAGAACTGACAGCGAGGGACCTGGGAAAGGGCGGGGAATTAGAGGTAAGATCATTGGTGGAGCTGGTTTTAGTCTGGCTGGACTCGTTTGGTGGAAAGACCGACACAGAGTTGTTCAGTCAGGGCAGCTGCTCCACATGCCAGGCTAATTGTTTGGAGCTCTTAAGCAGTGGCCCTGTAATTGAACTGCCAACACCTCGTTTTGAGGACAACATCCAAACACTTTTTAGACGGTGGTTGTCTTTAGGCTCAAAACAATTTGTCCTGGCTGTGGAGCAGAGCTGAGTTACAAGCACTGCCTGACGAACAACAATGTGTTGGTGTTCCACCTGCCGCAGTCAGCCAGACTAGGCCAGCGCAATAAACTGACCCCCAACCAGTCCCTCACTGTACAGGAGATATGGACCAGAAGTCTACAAATTGTCATCGGTCATCTGCAATGGTTCTGACAAATCAAATACTACACATGCATACCTCACGGAGCTCAGGTAGTAAAAGCCATTGATCATGTCTTCACTGCAGCGGCTGTCTGCAGTGAAGACATGAACAGGAGGGGATTTCTGTATGTCTACGAAAAAGAAAGGAAGAGATAGATTTGAATTAAAAGTTTTCTCCAGCCCCTCCTCTCAAAAGCGTTAAAGCTGAGAGGAGCAAGAAATTTCTAAATTAGTTTCTGAAAATTTTCTGGGATGGATGGGTAAAAAGATAAGACAGGTTTCCTGTTTGCAGGTTTCTCTCCGGGCGCTCCGGCTTCCTGCCACAGTCTAAAATCATGACTGTTTGGGTAATTGGCCTCTAAATTCTCCTTAATGTGAATAAAACATTAATTTTGTGAACAAAACAGTTGCACAGTGGCTCAGTTGGGAGAACTGTTGCCTTGCAGCAACAAAGTCCTGGGTTTGAATCCCCTCTATCATAACTCTCTTCCATAGAGCCTTTATTTCAGAATAAAAGCTCAGAAATAATTAAATGTATTTCTGACACGTAATTACAAAATGTCAGAAATACATTTTGTAATTAAATTTCATAAATAAAATATCAAAAATAAATTAGCAGGTTTCTCTCCGGCGCTCCGGCTTCCTGCCAAAGTCTGAAATAATGACTATATAAATATATATATATAAAAAAGATTAGACGGGTCTCCTGTCTAATCTTTAATGTTTAGACAGTAATGTATATATATATATATATATATATATATATATATATATATATATATATATATATATTATATATATAATATATATATATATATATATATATATATATATATATTGACTGTCCTGTAACTTTTAGATGCCTCTGCTACACCTGAATAGAGTAATTGGGTCATTAAGGTTCTGGGATCTTATGCACACCAGGAGGAGGTAATTAAGCCGTTTCATTCCAGTGTTTTATTCCTGTTGCACATCTAAAAACTACAGGACAGCGTCCCTCAAGGACTGGAGTTTGATGCTCCCACTTTAAACTAAACAATTTTAGATATATATCCCAACTTTCGCTTTCCTAACATAAGGGCAGAGAAAGTCTCCCCAGAGATTAATTTCTCTGGGGAAATTAATCAATCTCCTCCTTGTGTTGTGCAGAATTACTCAGCTCGGTCAGAACCAGCATTAATCAGCTGATAGCCAAGCTGTCAAGAAGTTTTGAAATAGTCACTCAGGATTGTTTATTTAGATACAACCTGCATTTTGACGTTGAACGAATGTCTATTACTTAATATGGCTTCACTGCCTTTGCTTTTGTAGAGCCCAGAAAATATGTTCAGAACAGTATTATTTGATTTATCAGGGCTGAACTAAGATTAGGACACAAAAGACACAGTTTGAACTTTCCTGAAATTAGCAGGAAGTCAGGATAGAGAAGCCAGAATAGATATAATGTGATCAAAAGCTCTACTTTGTAGAAAATTACATGCAGATGCATTTCCCCACCTTGCAGATATTGAACTGATATCAGTATACAGAGTTACACAATTCTAAGCACGAATCCAATAAAACAATAAGTTAAGTGATGGTGGACTAGGGAAGTGGGAAACATGAACATATTTGATTAGAACCAATAAACCATTTTTTATAAACATAGTTTCTGTTTTTACTGGACTAACCGTTGAATTGCAGTTTTACATTGACAATAGTTTTACCAAGGGCAACTTAGGATGTCTATTGATTATTATTACATGGTTAAAACTACACCTTCTCTCATTAAGGGCTCATTCCATCAGTTTCAATGTCATATATTACAAAATCCTGCCATAAGGAAGTTTAATTATTCTAGACAATTGGAGAGTTAAAAAACAGTCATACCTGAGTTTATATGAAGAGCTTCTGGAAGGATGAAAATCAAAATATGAAAAATGGTTTTGTGTTTTAGTTAGGTTGTTTATTTTCTTTAGGCAGAAAAATCTAAATCATGAAATAGATCAAGATCCAAAGAAATTAAAGTGAAAAGAGCAAAACACAAAAATGCTGACCAAGTAAAATGAAGAAGCCTTCTGCCCTCCAGCCCTGATCTACACTGTTTTATACTGCAGGAGTTCATAAGCTAAACCTACATGCAAAACAGACCACACTTTTTTTTTATTGTTGGAAATGTAAACCTCAAAGCTCATGAGTCTCAGTCTTCTTCTGTTAATTGTGAGCAGCAGCTTCCTTTTACGTGCAGCAGCTTCCTTTGACGTGCAAACAAGACATAGAGGGACGTGCAACAGGTCTTTACCTGTTGCACGTCCCTCTATGTCTTGTGACAGCTGTCCCTACTGTCACACAGAGACCTGAATGGTAATCGTTTTCTGTTCATCCTAAATATTAGTTTAAATATTGATTAGTGAATAGTTTAGATTTCTCGCTTCAAAATTATTTTCATTAACCTGACTCTTTAGTTTACTGTTTGCAGTGCACACATTTAGTTAACTTTACCTGTCAGTTTTTTATATTTTTTGTTAAATGCAACAAATTTTGAGTTACCAGTTTCCTTTGGAGCTGCTGCTGGAATCACACAGAAGAGCTCCAGCTAATTGCTCCTCAGTGGGTCCATTAAAAATCAGACCTTTTGAAATTGACCTATTGGACAACTTCATCAAATGTTTGACTTCATCAAATGTTTGACTTCATCAAATGTTTGACTTCATCAAATGTTTGACTTCATCAAATGTGTCACATTAGTGGATTTGAGCATCACTTGGAGGGAAACAACAGAATGTCCTTCTTACACGGCGCTCTGAAAAAAGGAGAACATGAAAGTCTCAACACAGAAGTGTGTTGACGTGAAGTTGCAGTTTGACCTGACCTCTAACCTCTAACCTCTAACCCACCAAGAGAAGAACAAATGATCTGACACATCTTATGCAGAATAAAACACAGTCCATATATACATGGTTGATATATTGGTGATAGTTCACACACAATGGATGATTCTCCTCAAGATCATACATTTATTCACAGCAGCATCTTTCCTCCATGACTGGCCTCACATATAGTTGCTTTTCATGTTAACCATGAATCTGCAGATCAACAAACAGCTTTTAGTCAACATACCACTTCCTGTTTCTCATAAAACCCCTGCAGACCAACTTCCTGAGGAGTTCAGACATGCAGAACTACAAGTTAGTCAATTAAAACTGAGCATAGATTCTGTGCAAAAAGACATTTCAAGGACCAATTATTATTTGGTCCTTGAAACATTTATTTTATCTTTTCAGTTCTTGAACGGGATCACATCAGGCCAAGATTGGCTGCTTTTAACTGGGAAAGAAGCAGGACATGTTGTAACGACTTTGACCACTAGGTGGCGGGGTTGCGTCTTGATTCCTGTGCCTGTAGATCAGTTTTGATCTTTTTTGAGAGTATTTCAATAATATCTTATGAACAACATTATTTTATCTGAACTCAGACGCAGCAAGACTCTGATGTTCCAATATAATGTTTATTAAAACAGAAAAATCAATCAGGAAATACAGCAGATGCACAAAATAAATGATCACAACCATCAAACATTTGACTGTTTTAAAGACACTTTTAAAATCTAAAGTTTTTAAACTTGTTTTAAATGACAAGAATTCACAACAGATATTGTCTCACATGAGACAAAAAGGTCAAATTTGTGTTCAGTCTCACTGAATGTATTTTGGTTCAAATTAAAATCTTATTGATCTAAAACAGTCCAATCATTCAGATTCAAATCTAGTTTCAGATGCACATGCAGTTCACAATTCAATTCTTAATACAATACAGTCAAATGCAGATGATCGTTTTTCATTGGAGTCACATAAAATAATTACAATCTAAAGCAGCTCAGCTAATTATTATGAGTTTAAATGAACATCTTGATCAAGCATGTGGCGACAGTAAGAAGGAATGACTCACTTTAAACACACTCTATGAAAATTTATGAGTTTCAAAGTGACAAAATATAGTAAAAGTGATGGATTGTTGTTTTGTCTGTCTTCTGAATTGTTGTGCAGTTTCCTTTCTCACATAGACTGTAAATTATTTTAAACAGTCACTATGGCTTGTCATAAAGGTTTCTGATTGGTCACCAATAACAATATTCTTGGCATTTGAATTTGATGAGTGAAGCTGTCAGGACAAATACCCGGATTTGATTTGACCTGCAACCAAAACATCATGAAATATTGACTGAAATGCTTTATATTTTGTTGGATTATGGAAACATAACATTTATCAAACTCCCATCTGTGTGTGAAGAGTAAATGTTTGTAGCTCATCATCATTTAAGTATAATATATTTAAAAAGCCATGTCTGAATCAGTAAACAGACTTAAGCTGCCTGCTGCAACAAGCTAAGAGAGGAGAAAGTTAATGATAGTAGTTCAAATTGATGTGAACTCATGTGAATCAACATTTCAATAATTTCAGCTTTACAATCTAGACCGTTTTTTTAATAAAATGATTTCAGGTGTTCACACTTACTGTTGTATATTTGTTATCATATCTAATTGTTAAACAGAACTGAATAGCCAATTTTCTTTAAAAATCTCAAATCATGTCCAAATTTGCTGTTACTTTTATTTCTAGACTGTTCAGTTAAAACCATGCAGATGTTTCTTCTAGATTAGAGCACAGTTTAAATTGGATTGAGTTGTTTTTGTGCTCTCCAGCGTGTAAACAACCTCACAAGGAAGCTTGTTTTTCTTTGAGCTTTCCTTTATAGCTGTTACTTTAAAAACCTCATATGGAGGGATCAGGACTTCTCTTTCGTTTGGAAACTTAGAGAACATTGAGATGCTTGCTCCAAAACATGTTGTGATCTCAAAGCATGACTTGGTACCAAACTCTGGATCAGAATAGTCACCCATCGAACTGGAGGAAAAAGCACCCAGACGAATCTCTTTGTTTTGAATATCTTTGCTGAATTTGCAGGGTGTTCTCCGGTAAACGGTGACACAATTTTCTGCTGTAGGTTTGATGTTGCGCAGGGCCATGGTGAGGTAGAAGTGCAGAGTGTGATACTGGAATGTGGTTTTGTACTCAGAGTTTTGTTTTCGGACTGCGTTGTTGAATTCACGGTAAAAAGGTGGTTCTTCAAGGGTGTACGCATGAGCAGCCATGATTTGTTCTTTCTTCAGTGGCGGGTCATGCGCCGATTTACTGTTGTAGTATACCGCGGCTTTGTCCCAGGCATCTTTGAAGTTTTGATTGTTGTTTTTCTCATTTTGTAAAAATTCTTTCTCTATTTTTTCCTTCATCTTCTCTTCACATTTGTTGTACATGTCATCAACAGAGTCTGGAGCCATGTCTAGTTGGATTGGTTGACTTGGAGGAGTTATGCAATTTTTAATATTCTTCCCACACTAAACAGAAAACAAAAGAAAAATGTTATTCATTCGTCATGTTTATGTTCTGAATGTAAGGTTGTGATGCCATTAAACAAATATCACTCACCTGAATGAACCATTTTCCAAATAGGCACCCAAGAGACGATCCAAATAACATGAACACAGCCACCAAAATTATCATCCTTGCCATCTTGACTCGGCAGACAATTCTCAAACCCAACCAAAAAAATGTGGACAGCTGTACGTGAGAGAAAGAGGAGTAATGTATTAGAAGACATTACTGAGAATATACAAAGATCAAATAATCTTAAAAAGGCAAACGCAATGCAAGCAATTATAATTAAAAAAAACAAAACAACTGTTGCACTTCAGTTAATTCCTAATAAAATAATCGCCCTGTGAATCTTGAGACATGTTGTACTGGTCATATGTATAATAAATGCTGCGTAAGCATTTGTATGCTGAACTAACTGCTAATCACTAATTACAGTTATTGTAATTCAGTTGTTTATTTCATTAAGTTTTTTTTAAGACCTGTGTGTTTGGCAGGTGGTGTAGCTCACATTTATACAACTGTTTTAACTCGTCTGCTGTCTTCTAATGCGCAAGTGCACCCATCATTCAATAGTAGAACTAGAACTGAGAAAAGTATGCTTACCTCTTTAGCTGTGGCGACTGGTGCAGGAACAATGGACTGGAAGAACGAAGGAGCAAATGGCTGAAGCAGATGCAGAAAAGGATTGGAGAGAAGAATGTGTGACCAGGCTTTAAACAGCTGGCGTCTTTTGCATTTGCATGTAATTTCCAAAATTTGTAAGTTACGTTTAGATTTGCTTCTTAATCTAAGGAATAGCAAACGGTGTAATCTTTGAGTCGGGTTAAGTCCGTGTCTTTCAGCTGTCAGAAACTTCTGGAAATGACACGTCACCTTTCTAATTCGTCATAAATTTGAACCAAAATATCATTTGGACAAGTTTTTTTCACTTTAATTGTCTAATATCCGTGGAAGTTCCTACTGATTAGCAGCAATAGTTCATGTGATCAGTTAATAATAACAGAAGTCAAACTTTAGTTTTCCAGAAGTTACCAGATGGTAAAAGACAAATCACTATTAAACTACACATGTCAAACCAGTTTGTACTCAGTAAATTATGGCACAATAATGATCTTTAAATATTGTCAGGATGGAACATGATAGCCTGTCGTGTCATCAGAGCTCAAGATATAATGGATTATAAACCCTTTTAGGTTCAACAAACAATGAAGCGATTAAAAAAATAACATTATACTGATCTGGTGTGTATGATGGAAGTACAGTGTCCCCACAAACAATCTGAAAGTCCTTGCAAACCTTTTGCCAGTCGACATAATAAACTCACACACATTTAAACTAGTTTGGTCCAGTCCCTGTTCTTAAAGACTGCTGTCCCGCATGTCGTGTTTCCCTGTTCAACACCCAGTTGATACAATGGTAGAGCTCCCTGCACAGTGTTTTATAAAGTTTAGTAAAACCCTTTAATCGTTGAATCATTAATGTGACATGTTGGGCCTCACATGCACATAAAACAAGCACCAGGATTGGCTTAACCTCATAGCGCTTCACTCTGTAACAGTTGGATGTTAAATGACCTCAAACAAAAGGAACATTTGCAGGAACAGTGGACTGACGGTATGATTAAGCAAATGTCTGAAGCAGATGCAGAAAAGGAGAAGTTAATGATTCACCAGGCTTTGAACAGATGGCGTCTTTTGCATTTGCATATAATTTAAGAAACTTTGCACGTTAGTTTTAGATTTGCTCTTTAAGCTACACAGTGTTAAAGGTTCACATCAACGCAGCAAACGGTGTCACCTTTTAGCACCAGCTAACACCGAGCTGTCAGAAACTAATGGAAATGACACATCATCTTTCTAATTAGTCATAATTTAATATACATATGTTTACACATGTCCTTTCCACTTAGTTTCTAACTTGCGGCACAAGAACATTGGTCCAACTGCAACCGCGCTACCTGCGTCAGTGTGTTGACCTGAAGTTGCAGTTTGACCTGACCTCTGACCTCTAACCTCTAACCCACCAAGAGAAGAACAAATGATCTGACACATCTTATGCAGAATAAAACACAGTCCATATATACATGGTTGATATATTGGTGATAGTTCACACACAATGGATGATTCTCCTCAAGATCACACATTTATTCACAGCAGCATCTTTCCTCCATGACTGGCCTCACATATAGTTGCTTTTCATGTTAATCATGAATCTGCAGATCAACAAAACAGCTTTTAGTCAACATACCACTTCCTGTTCTCATAAAACCCCTGCAGACCAACTTCCTGAGGAGTTCAGACATGCAGAACTACAAATTAGTCAATTAAAACTGAGCATAGATTCTGTGCAAAGAGACATTTCAAGGACCAATTATTATTTGGTCCTTGAAACATTTATTTTATCTTTTCAGTTCTTGAACGGGATCACATCAGGTCAAGATTGGCTGCTTTTAACTGGGAAAGAAGCAGGACATGTTGTAACGACTTTGACCACTAGGTGGCGGGGTTGCGTCTTGATTCCTGTGCCTGTAGATCAGTTTTGATCTTTTTTGAGAGTATTTCAATAATATCTTATGAACAACATTATTTTATCTGAACTCAGACGCAGCAAGATTCTGATGTTCCAATATAATGTTTATTAAAACAGAAAAATCAATCAGGAAATACAGCAGATGCACAAAATAAATGATCACGACCATCAAACATTTGACTGTTTTAAAGACACTTTTAAAATCTAAAGTTTTTAAACTTGTTTTAAATGACAATAATTCACAACAGATATTGTCTCACATGAGACAAAAAGGTCAAATTTGTGTTCAGTCTCACTGAATGTATTTTGGTTCAAATTAAAATCTTATTGATCTAAAACAGTCCAATCATGCAGATTCAAATCTAGTTTCAGATGCACATGCAGTTCACAATTCAATTCTTAATACAATACAGTCAAATGCAGATGATTGTTTTTCATTGGAGTCACATAAAATAATTACAATCTAAAGCAGCTCAGCTAATTATTATGAGTTTAAATGAACATCTTGATCAAGCATGAGGCGACAGTAAGAAGGAATGACTCACTTTAAACACACTATGAAAATTTATGAGTTTCAAAGTGACAAAATATAGTAAAAGTGATGGATTGTTGTTTTGTCTGTCTTCTGAATTGTTGTGCAGTTTCCTTTCTCACATATAGACTGTAAATTATTTTAAACAGTCACTATGGCTTGTCATAAAGGTTTCTGATTGGTCACCAATAACAATATTCTTGGCATTTGAATTTGATGAGTGAAGCTGTCAGGACAAATACCTGGATTTGATTTGACCTGCAACCAAAACATTATGAAATATTGACTGAAATGTTTTATATTTTGTTGGTTTATGGAAACATAACATTTATCAAACTCCCAACTGTGTGTGAAGAGTAAATGTTTGTAGATCATCATAATTTAAGTATAATATATTTAAAAAGTCATGTCTGAATCAGTAAACAGACTTAAGCTGCAACAAGCTAAGAGGAGAAAGTTAATGATAGTAGTTCAAATTGATGTGAACTGATTTGAATTAACATTTCAATATCATTTAATTCAGCTTTACAATCTAGACCATTTTTTAATAAAATGATTTAAGGTGTTCACACTCACTGTTGTATATTTGTTATCATATCTAATTGTTAAACAGAACTGAGGATCCAGTTTTCTATAAAAATCTCAAATCATGTCCAAATTTACTGTTAATTTTATTTCTAGATTGTTCAGTTAAAACCATGCAGATGTTTCTTCTAGATTAGAGCACAGTTTAAATTGGATTGAGTTGTTTTTGTGCTCTCCAGCGTGTAAACAACCTCACAAGGAAGCTTGTTTTTCTTTGAGTTTTCCTTTATAGCTGTTACTTTAAAAACCTCATATGGAGGGATCAGGACTTCTCTTTCATCTGGAAACTTAGAGAACTTTGAGATGCTTGCTCCAAAACATGTTGTGATCTCAAAGCATGACTTGGTACCAAACTCTGGATCAGAATAGTCACCCATCGAACTGGAGGAAAAAGCACCCAGACGAATCTCTTTGTTTTGAACATCTTTGCTGAATTTACAGTTTGTTCTCCGGTAAACGGTGACACAATTTTCTGCTGTAGGTTTGATGGTGCGCAGGGCCATGGTGAGGTAGAAGTGCAGAGTGTGATACTGGAATGTGGTTTTGTACTCAGAGTTTTGTTTTCGAACTGCGTTGTTGAAATCACAGTATAAAGCTGGTTCTTCAAGGGTGTACGCATGAGCAGCCATGATTTGTTCTTTCTTCAGCGGCGTGTTATTGTTCGCCCATTTACTGTTGTAGTATTTCTCTGCTTTATTCCAGGCCTCTTTGAAGTTTTTATCTTTGTTTTTCTCATTTTGTAAAAATTCATTCTCTATTTTTTCCTTCATCTTCACTTCACAGTTGTTGTACATGTCATCAACAGAGTCTGGAGCCATGTCTAGAGCGAATGGCAAACAATCTTGACTTTTCTTCTCACACTAAACAGAAAAACAAAAGAAAAATATTATTTATTAGTTATGTTTATGTTCTGGATGTAAGGCTGTGCAGCATTTAAACAAATATCACTCACCTGCTTTCCAAATACAGACCCAAGAGAGGCTCCTAATACTAGGACCACAACCACCAAAATTGTCCCCACCACCACCACCAGAGTCTTCCCTGACAGCCCACAACACTGCAGTAGGTGAGAGAAAGAGTGGAAATGTATTAAAGACATTATTGAGAATATATGAGGATCAAATAGTATTAAAAATTTAAATGCAATACAAGCAATTGAAATATATATATTTTTGCACTTGAGCTAATTTCTAATAAAATAATCGCCCTGTGAATCTTGAGACATGTTGTACTGGTCATATGTATAATAAATGCTGCATAAGCATATTTGTATGTTGAACTAACTGCTAATCACTAATTACTGTTATTGTAATTCAGGTATTTATTGCATTATGTTTTTTTTTAAGACCTGTGTGTTTGGCAGGTGATGTAGCTCACATTTCTACAATTGTTTTAACTAGTCTGCTGTCATTTGATGTGCAAAAGACAACATGTACTTGCTCTACATGTTCACAGTATAAAAATGTGAAATATACTTTCACATTTTTAAAAAACATTTCTACTCTCTTGCCAATTTCTTTGGACTGAAGTGAGATATTTTATTGTTGTGTGCTTTCTTGGCTTTATTTCAGGCCAGTCCTTATTGATGCTTGTCTCATTTCGTAAATAGTCCGTCTTTAATTTTCTCACCATGTCTTCTTCACATTCGCCGTACGTCAACCAAAGAGTTTGTAGCCTTATTCAGTTTGATTGGGCGATCCGTCAGAGTTTGACATTCCTGCCAAAATTAAGCAAAAACAAAAAGAAACACATTACTGATTTCTACTGTTTATGTTCAGCATGTGTGATTATACATTTACATAAATAAGTAAAAATTTCTTCACGTTCCCTTGTGGAGTCCCAACACAGGATCCAAATAACATGAAGACGGCAACCCAGATGACCCAAATGACTCAGCAGACAACTCTGAGAACAAGCAAGATAAAATATTTTGGTCAGTGTGACTTTAATGTGCCAATGTAGTTTCCCCTTAAATTAAGTGATGCCTTCAAGAAGCTCTGGTACTTCAGCTTTTAAAGCAGATCTATAAATAATTAACTTGAGTGTTGGTTTAGATTTATGGGTGCATATTAATGTTCACCCAGAAATAAGGGCCGAACTAAGATTAGGACACAAAAAAGCAGTTGCAACTTTCTTGAAATTAGCAGGAAGTCAGTATAGAGACTCCAGCATCGATATCATGTGACCAAAATCTCTACTTTGTAGAAAATTACATGCAGATGTGTAGAGGTGTGAAAAACAAGTTACTCGTAAATAAAGACAATAAGTAAGAAAATAGACACCCCAAACATAATTTTTTATTTATGCACTTCCTTGGTCCAGAAGGATCAAGGAAGTGCATATCACCAAGGTTTTGTGAGTGAGGAGTCAAACATCTGACAGCATTTAGCACACCTTGGGGTCTCTACGAATGGATAAGGATTCCATTGGACTGACCAATGCACCAGCTGTGTTCCAGAGATGTATGGAAGGTGTATTAGAAGGAATCAGGGATGAGTCCTGTGTACCTTATTTAGATGATGTACTCTGTTACTCAAGAACATTTGAGGAACACATGGACCATCTGAGACAAGTTTTCTGCAGAATGCAACAACGTGGCATTAAACTTCGACCAGCCAAATGCAAGCTTTTCAAGAGACAAATTCGTTATCTAGGACGAATGGTTTCAGGAGAAGGCATCCAGATTGAAGTAGTGTCTGCAGTGTGGCAAGGCAACAAAGCAACACAAAGCAATGATGTTCCCTGGCTTGCTGCATTACAACTTGCTGATGAAAATGATGAGACTAACTTACCTGATGGTGTCACAACCACTATGCCTGAAAACATCAGAGCATAGTGGCACAACAGAAAAATACACAACAACAGTAAAATACAGCTATTAAGGAGATTGTGGCATTGAAACAAATAAATTGGAGTCCAAATGAATAGGATAAAAGAACCATGTATAAAGAAACAAGGAGACTGTTGTACGAGTGGAACAAGTTAGTCGTGGAAAACGGGCTACTTTTCCGGAACACAGAACTAAACAGACAGCTGGTTCTCCCCGAAAAACGCAAATCATTAGGTGTTAAAGAGTTTGCATGACGACATGAACCATGTTGGTCCTGACAAGGTGACCCATCTTGCTCGAGAACAGTTTTAATGGCTGAACATGCAACAGGACATTGAGGATTTGTGACCAAGAAATGTCAATGTATTAAACAAAAACATCCCAATGTCTCACAGAGAGCCCCAATGGGATCCATCAAAACCATTACTCTATTTGAGTTGATCTCTATTGATTATTTGCATTTGGAGCCAAGCAAAGGAGGTTATGAGTATATCCTGATTGTCGCTGACCATTTCACTCGATTTGCACAAGCATAGCCAACGAGAAACAAATCCGGAAAAACAGCAGCTGAAAAGATATTTCAAGATTTCATTCCTCGTTTTGGATATCCAGAGAAACTACATCATGATGAGGGACGTGAGTTTGAGAATAGCTTATTCCAAAGATTACAACAACTCTCAGGAATTTCCTGGAGTATCTTAGCACACAAAAAGAATAAATCTTCCTTTGGATGTTGACGAGAACTCAACGTGTGTGTCTCATCTTTTCTGTCACAGCATCACACGTTGGAGGAAGATCTTTTCTATTACATTACTCTCAGCCACCCAAGGTTGCAGGGTAACAGATGCATTTCCCCCCTTGCATCTGATATCAGTATAGAGAGTTAATTCTAAGCATGAGTTAATTCTTCTAATACAATATTTAGGAGCGAGAAAATGACTGGATTTGTTGCACAGGTGGCATCCAATGACACTGACCTCCCGAGAGCGACCCATTCTTTCACAAGCATTTGTAAAAACAGTCGGCATGCCAACGTGCCTAATTTTATACACCTGTGACCTTGAGAAACATGGGAACATTTGATTATGATCATGTGGATGAATGAGTAAATGCTCTTCATAATATTGTGAATGGTATAAAAGTTATAAAGTGTAAGGCAGTAAAGGTCCATGACCACAAGCAAGAAGTCCAAAGTCAGTTTGCTGGTTAATCATGACCAGTTATGATGATATCAAACTCAACATCTAGGAGCTAAGAAGAGATGTATCATTCTTGCTCCTTGTTTGTTTTTCCACAAACTTCTGCTTCTACAAAACCCAACAATCTTCTTGTTAAAAAGGTCAGAAAAATAAAGTAAAACAGAAGTTTAAACTTTATTTGCTTTCAGGAAAAAGAGAAGTTTCAAACACAATTACTTTAGCTATAGAGTCTCCAGAACAAGACTTACAACAAAGATTATGGTAATATCAGCTGCAATCGTTTGGCCTGTAAACGCAAAACTGAAAAAAAAATAATAAACAAAAAAACGTATGTATGTTCTTTAAAATCAAGCTTTAACACTTGGTCAGGATCTTCTGATTTACATTATTTGTATTGACCAATTGAATGACTTTATTAAAATTAAAGTATATTTGATCTTTAAAGTATCATGCTTTAAATTATTCTTATTATAATATAATAATTATAATAATATAATAACTTTATATCCAAAAAACAACAGAGTTTATAACTACATAGCTATAGTAATACAGACGTACAGTCATCAGAGTTAAACTTGTTATTTTTTCATAACTGGATCTGTGAACCAGCCAGTCTGTTAGGTTGCATGCATCATTACTATTTCATAATGCTTCTGTGGCATGTAAACAAACTTGTGCAGGACATTGAGAGAGCATGACAAACGTACAGAAGCACAGAGAGGAAGTGAAAACTTCTCTCACGCTCAGTCATCTATCTAATCTGCATCTTCATGTTGCTTTTGGCAATTTACCATCAGCAAGTTCTTCTATGGAAACCTCTGAGGACCGATTGCCAAAGGTGAGGCAATCGGTCCTCACCTCAGATTTGTTGAGACTCAGTGACCTCGCTGACCTTCTGCACCTGTTTGATCCTGTTTCAGGGCAATGGAAAGACTGGAAGACCTGGGTCCTCTTCAGGGTCTCTGTGGGGAAATTTGACTGCCAGAAGTTGAGAGCTTATGTTTAACAATCTTGCAGATCAAGCAGTATTGTCACCTAACAACCGTTCCAGCCAATAGAACGACAGTTTTCCACTGGGTGATTTAATAAAACACTAATATTCACAGAAATCAGGGCTGAACTAAGATTTGGACACAAAAAAACAGTTTGAACTTTCCTGAAATTAGCAGGAAGTCAGTATAGAGAAGCCAGAATAGATATAATGTGATCAAAAGCTCTACTTTGTAGAAAATTACATGCAGATGCATTTCTCCCCCTTGCAGATGTTGAACTGATATCAGTATACAGAGTTACACAATTCTCTGCATGATGCAATAAAACAATAAGTTAAGTGATGGTGGACTAGGAGGAAGTGGGAAACATGAACATATTTGATTAGAACCAATAAACCATTTTTTATAAACATAGTTTCTGTTTTTACTGGACTAACCGTTGAATTGCAGTTTTACATTGACAATAGTTTTACCAAGAGCAACTTAGGATGTCTATTGATTATTATTACATGGTTAAAACTACACCTTCTCTCATTAAAGGCTCATTCCATCAGTTTCAAAATCATATGTCACAAAATCATGTCATAAGGATTATTCTGGCAAATTGGAGAGTAAAAAAACAGTCATACCTGAGTTTATATGAAGAGCTTCTGGAAGGATGAATATCAAAATATGAAAAATGGTTTTGTGTTTTAGTCAGGTTGTCTATTTTCTTTAGGCAGAAAAATCTAAATCATGAAATAGATCAGGATCCAAAGAAATTAAAGTGAAAAGAGCAAAATATAAAAATGCTGACCAAGTAAAATGAAGAAGCCTTCTGCCCTCCAGCCCTGATCTACACTGTTTTATACTGCAGGAGTTCATAAGCTAAACCTACATGCAAAACAGACCACACTTTTTTTATTGTTGGAAATGTAAACCTCAAAGCTCATGAGTCTCAGTCTTCTTCTGTTAATTGTGAGCAGCAGCTTCCTTTTACGTGCAAACAAGACATAGAGGGACGTGCAACAGGTAAAGACCTGTTGCACGTCCCTCTATGTCTTGTGACAGCTGTCCCTACTGTCACACAGAGACCTGAATGGTAATCGTTTTCTGTTCATCCTAAATATTAGTTTAAATATTGATTAGTGAATAGTTTAGATTTCTCGCTTCAAAATTATTTTCATTAACCTGACTCTTTAGTTTACTGTTTGCAGTGCAAACATTTAGTTAACTTTACCTGTCAGTTTTTTATATTTTTGTTAAATGCAACAAATTAATTTCTTCTTTTGAGTTACCAGTTTCCTTTGGAGCTGCTGCTGGAATCACACAGAAGAGCTCCAGCTAATTGCTCCTCAGTGGGTCAATCAAAAATCAGACCTTTTGAAATTGACCTATTGGACAACTTCATCAAATGTTTGACTTCATCAAATGTTTGACTTCATCAAATGTTTGACTTCATCAAATGTGTCACATTAGTGGATATGAGCATCACTTGGAGGGAAACAACAGAATGTCCTTCTTACACGGCGCTCTGCAAAAAGGAGAACATGAAAGTCTCAACACAGAAGTGTGTTGACGTGAAGTTGCGTGTTGATCTGACCTCTAACCTCTAACCTCTAACCCACCAACAGAAGAACAAATGATCTGACACAAATTATGCAGAATAAAACACAGTCCATATATACATGGTTGATATATTGGTGATAGTTCACACACAATGGATGATTCTCCTCAAGATCATACATTTATTCACAGCAGCATCTTTCCTCCATGACTGGCCTCACATATAGTTGCTTTTCATGTTAACCATGAATCTGCAGATCAACAAAACAGCTTTTAGTCAACATACCACTTCCTGTTTCTCATAAAACCCCTGCAGACCAACTTCCTGAGGAGTTCAGACATGCAGAACTACAAGTTAGTCAATTAAAACTGAGCATAGATTCTGTGCAAAGAGACATTTCAAGGACCAATTATTATTAGACTAAAAGCAACAGCAGAGTTTAGATGTATTTGATCTTTAAAGAATCATGCTTTAAATTCTCCAGTTCAGGTCAATATAAAGTGGAACAGCAATACTTTGACTTTGTAACTTAAGGGCTTGAAATTGGGCGTCTGTCTGTGATGAACTCTCCGGGAAATCATCACAACATCTCTCCTTTCCCAGCTGAAGCTGAAGCACTGAGTTTTGATTTATCCTCTTTAGGTCCAAAAGAGGAACAATCAGGCTGTGTCCAGTCATGGCACTTGATTGATCACGTACACTGTCCATTGGGCCGCTTCCACTTACATTATGGTGTAAACAGTGTTGAAAAACAGGAGATGCTGTCACGACATTGACCACTAGGTGGCGCAGTTGTTTCTTGATTTCTGTGCTTGTGCTGCAAGTGAGAAAGCAAGTGAAAGCAGCTGGACCGGAAGCGCATCATCTCACCTTCAACTTAGTCAGAAGAAAGACGGAGCCATAAGTTCACAATCCAGGAATTTATTGAGTTGATAATATTAGAATTAAAAATAATGAGTAAAACTGATTTTTCTGAAAAGTGGCCTGAGATGCTATGATTCAGCTCATAGCAACTGATCTGAATTCATCAAGGATAAAGCAGATTCAAATATAGTTTTTAGATGCACATGCAGTTCATAATTCAATTCTTAATACAATACAGTCAAATGCAGATGATTGTTTTATTGCAGTCACATAAAATAATTACAATCTAAAGCAGCTCAGCTAATTATAATGAGTTTAAATGAACATCTTGATCAAGCATGTGGCGACAGTAAGAAGGAATGACTCACTTTAAACACTGTGTGCAGATTAACGAGTTACAAAATGTCACAAAGTTAATGAAAGCAGTGGGTTTTTTCTGTGTTTTCTGACTTATTTTACAATTTCTAACTCAAATCAGAAATCAAAATATTTTACACACTTACTGCAGCTTGTCAAAATGTCTGGATCCGCATATAATCATCACAAAGCTCAGTCTGAAAGCCATCTGCTCTAACAAGCTGGTGATTGGATCATGAAAGAACTCACATGCACAATAAATGTAAATTAATGATTAAATGCTTATTGTCTTTACATTTCAGCTTCACAGATCATTTTTCCCAGTAAGGACTATAGATGTAAAACTCACTGTTGGATATTTGTTATGGTAACTGGGTCGGCCCTCAGCACACGATCCGAAACTCAATTGGATTCAAGTGAGCGAGATGAAATTTGAGTTACGTTTTGTTAAAACAGAACTGATTTTCTTTAAAAAGAGATTTCAAATTATGTCCATGTGCACAGCACCCCCTTTATTTATTTCAATTGAAACCATGTTTTCCCTTGAACAGAGCACAGTTTAAGTTGGACTTATTTTTGTTGGTGCTCTGCAGCGTGTAAACAACCTCACAAGGAAGCTTGTTTTGCTTTGAGCTTTCCTTTATTTCTGTTACTTTAAAAATCTCATATGGAGGGATCAGGACTTCTTTTTCTGATTGAATACTAGAAACTGTGAGATGTCTGCTCCAAAACATGTCGTGATATTAAAGCATGACTTGGTACCAAACACTGGATTAGGATATTTATCCAACGAACTGGAGGAAAAACCACCAAGACGAATCTCTTTGTTGCGAACATTTTTGCTGAATTTGCAGTTTGTTCTCCGGAAAACCTTGACACAATTTCCTGCATTACCTTTAATGGTTTGCAGGGCCCTGGTGAGGTAGAAGCAGACTGTGATACAGGAATGTGGTTTTGTACGCAGATTTTTGTTTTCGGACGGCGTTGTTTGAATACGCTGTATAGTGGTGGGACGTTCAGGGTGTACGCATAAAGAGCCATGATTTGTTCCTTCTCCAGCAGTAGAGGTGGGTTTTTCGCCCAGGTCTTGTTGTAGTAATTCTCAGCTTTTCTCCAGGCCTGTTTGAAGTTTTCATCTTTGTTTATCTCATTTTGCAAAAGCTCTGTCTTCACTTTTCTCTCCATGTCATCTTCACATTTGTCGTACATGTCGTCCACAGAGTTTGGAGCCATGTCCAGTTTGATTGGACAACGAATCCAGATTTTAATTTTTGCCAAAGCTGAACAGAAACAAAAAAGAATATTATGTTCATGCTGAGCATGTGAACATGTGAAGCAAATAAGCAATAAAATAAAACATTCCTCACCTTCTTCAAGTTCTCCAGTGGCGTCCCAGCGCAGGATGCAAATAGCATGAAGACGGCCACGCAGACCAACAACCGAGCCATGCTGACTCAGCAGACTCTGAAAACGCATTTTAAACAAAGCGAATCAGTGAATAACTGTGTTGGGCATTAGTGGAGGTTTATGACTTCATATTAATGATCAGACAGAAATAAGCAGGAAGCCAGAATAGAGAGGGCAGCATAGATGTAATGCGATCAACATTTTAAAGTGTGATGATGAACTATGAGGAAGTGAAATGACATAAACATGAATTATTTCAACCAGCAAACAATTTTCTTGGTTGCTTACATTAGTATTAAATGAGATAAATAAATATTTTAACAAGTTTATTGATTTTAAGCTTAAAAGATCATGAATATTTACATGCACACATTGGATAAATGTGACAGTTTTTGTTTTTACTGGACTAACTGTTGAATTGCAGTGTTATATTGATAATCTTAGTTTTACCATGGGTAATTTAAAGTGTTTATTATTATTATTATTCATGGTTAAAACTATACCTTCTCTCATTAAAGGCTCATTCCATCAGTTTCAATGTCATATATTACAAAATCCATAAGGAAATTTAATTATTCTGGAAAATTGGAGAGTAAAAAACAGTCATACCTGAGTTTATATGAAGAGCTTCTGGAAGGATGAATATCAAAATATTAAAAATGGTTTTGTGTTTTAGTTAGGTTGTTTATTTTCTTTCGGCAGAAAAATCTAAATCATGAAATAGATCAGGATCCAAAGAAAATAAAGCAGAAACACTGAGCAAGTAAAATGAAGAAGCCTTCTGCCCTCCAGCCCTGTTCTACACTGTTTTATAAATAAGGCAGAAGAAGAAGTTCATCAGCTAAACTTATCTGCAGAAGAAACACATTTCTTTCTTATTGGAAATGTAAACCTTAAAGCTCATGAGTCACAGTCTTCTTTTGTTAATTTTGAGCAGCAGCTTCCTTTTACTTGCTAACTTCATCTCTTTCAGATCCTTTTACGTCTTCAGCTGCAGGCTGCATAAGCTCTTCGTTCGCTTCTGCTCTTGAGCTGTTCACACCTTATTCTTGGTGACTTCTCTTTAAGTTGATTCGCCTCCACTGTTCTTAGATCGTTTCTTTTCTACAGCCCTAATATGCACAACTTTAAAATATCTTGGATTTTAAAGACACAAAAATCAACAGATTTTGAGATTAAAACACTCACATCCCCCCTCCGTCATTATGAAATAAAATTGAACATTTATGAATGTTTCTTCTTTTGTTTTGATCCGGAGGCAGAAATATAATCGTTCTAAAATAATGTATAATTTAATTCGTGCTCAATGCTGACATTCATTAAAGAAACAATACGCATATTTACATATTAATGTATTTATTGAAGTTGCACAGAATAAAGAAAAAGAACAGTATTTTCTTCCAGCAGAAATACTTTCACATAAGCAGAACTATGGTATAAAAACTCTGTCCTCCAAGCAAACCCAAAGCTTCAGCTTGCAGCAGTCAAACGGTTCTAAGTACCACAGAGAAGCTTGACATTAGTTTTACGCTACAGCCTGAATTTCTGCATGTTTATTATAAGTGAGGAAGTTAATAGAGATCAATCTGAACTTTCTCTTTAAAGATCAGCCAGGTGTAAATTTAGAACAAGATGAAACTGTTTCAAATTAATGCAATGGAAAATCACAAAATTATTTGCTTTGCAACTTGGCAGTCAAGATTGCTCTGGATACGACTATGTTTCAGAACATAGACAGTCTCACAGTCTTCAAGTTCTGGAGGTTTTTCTGTGCTGATTATCTTGAACGTCTCATAAGGTGGAATCAGAACCTCCTGCTCATGATCTTTGAGCACTGGATATTTTTTCATATAAGCTCCATGACAGGTTGTAATTTTAAAGCATGTTGTCGTACCAAAGTGTGTCAGAGTTGATAATTTGGAGGAGGAGGCAAAATTACCAAATCGAATTTCTTGGTTGACTTCACCTGTTAACGTGGATTTGGTTCTACGGAAAGTTGTGTAACATTCATTATGATTGTGTTTGAGGATCTGCATCGCTCTGGTCAGCCAGAAATGCAAAGAGTGGAAAGGAAAAGATGAACTGTATTGTTGTTTATTGGTCTTGACTGCATTATTGAAGGCCTTATAGAAATCTGCTGGTCCTCCAGCTGTGTAAACACAAATTGCTTGCATGTGATCTTTTGTCAGAGCTTCATCTTCTGGTTCTCTTTGTTTCATATTTCTACCTGCACAACTTTGTGCTGCGTTCCATGCCTTGCTGAATACATTATTTTTCATTTCTTTTTCAAAGTAAGTATTCTTGACCTTTTTCTCCATCTGTGGAGCACAGGTAGAATACCTGTCATCCACACAGTTTACAACCATGTCCAGCGGATCACCGATCTAAAAGCAATGAGAAAAATATATATATATGTACATACGACAAAGAGAAAAACAGCATATAGATGAAATTACATTCACTTCTCTTTCTTATTTGGAAATAAATGTGATGTTACATGTTTTCAATGTAGGAAATAAAGTTAAAAAAATGATATTGCAAACTTAAAATTGAAATGACCTTTTATGAATTTTGCAAGTGGAATCGTTTTGATGTAAGATCTTCTAAAATGTCTTGGTATGCTGAACCATTCAGAGTTCCTTTCACTGGAAGTAAGGGTTCATGCCCAGCTCTTGAAAAACAACCCCCACCAAACTTCATGAGTCACAGTCTTCTTCTATTAATTGTCAGCAGCAGCTTCCTTTTTTTTTTTTTTTTGCTCATCTTCATCTGTTTCAGATCCTTCTGTGTCTTCAGCTGCAGGCTGCATAAGCTCTTCGTTCACTTCTGCTCTTGAGCTGTTCACACCTTATTCTTGGTGACTTCTCTTTAAGTTGATTCGCCTCCACTATTCTTAGATCGTTTCTTTTCTACAGCCCTAATATGCACAACTTTAAAATATCTTGGATTTTAAAGACACAAAAATCAACTGATTTTGAGATAAACAGTCATTAAAACACTCACATCCCCCCTCCGTCATTATGGAATAAAATTGAACAAGCATTTATGAATGTTTCTTCTTTTGTTTTGATCCGGAGGCAGAAATATAATCGTTCTAAAATAATGTATAATTTAATTCGTGCTCAATGCTGACATTCATTAAAGTTCTCTTTAAGTTGATTCGCCTCCACTGTTCTTCATTTTTGATTGTTTTTTCACTTTAACCCCAATACACAAAACTTTAAAAGAAAACACACAAAACCAACTGAATTTGAGATACACCATCAACAACAAACAAACACTAAACAATTTTTGCAAAAAAAAAACACATGAAATTAATTTTCAGTTTTGACAAGGGTGATTTCAACACCATAGAAATAACCATGTTTTTGTTCAGCTAAATGTGACACTAAGTGACTAAATACCTTAAAAACCATCAAATGATGCTTAGAGACGATGGCAGAGAGTTCAGGTGAATCTCAGTAGATATATAGACGATCAATTCAGATATTCTGTTATTGATTTAATACCAATTCCACTGATAAAACATCTTCATCAACCAGTTGCCACATTGAAACTATTGTTGATCAGAACCAAAGTCCTGGAACAGAATAAGCTGTGATTGGGTTATGAAGAAAATATCAATTGAGGACTAATGAATCAAATGTTAATATATTAATATGAAGACTAAATATTTTACATGAAAGCATTCTGTAACTCTAACAAGAAATAATATTGTTTTTTTGTTACCACCAGTACTTTACTTGCAACACTCCACATCATGACTTTTGGTACCAAGTACATTCTTTATACAACAGCACACATTTATATGTTATTACTGAGAAAACTTTTCTTTTTTCTTTTGTAAATTATTTTGCGGAAAACATCAGTGTGTAGTTGTGCTGTATTTCTGTGTTTATAAAATAGTGGCTCAGCAATCATGAACTAAAAGGAAGGAAATAAAATATAAAAGCTAGAGCTAAAGAGAGAACTGAAGCAGGGAGCGGATGCTATCCATACTTACTTTTCTTGGCGGTTTTCTCAAGAAAAGTTAATTTTGCTTTCATTTGAAAAATCCCGTTTAACACACACACACACACACACGCGCGCGCACACACACACACACACACACACACACACACACACACACACACACACACACACACACACACACCAATCATCTTGTGAATAATTCATTGTCTTCACAAAACCATCAGGAAAGCAGAAGTATTTCACGAAGCCGGACTTCTAAACATGCAGAGCAGCCTGTCACTTTTAAGGACAGCACTCTGGGTGACAGGAATTAGTATCAAACCAGTCAATGTTAACACTTTTCGGCTCAGTTAAAACAAATATATAAAAATTCCCTTCTCACCCACCGCGGGTGGTTCTTATCCTCTGAGCTCGGGTCCTCTACCAGAGGCCTGGGAGCTTGAGGGTTCTGCGCAGTATCTTGGCTGTGCCAAGGACTGCACATTTCTGGACTGAGATGTCTGATGTTGTTCCTGGGATCTGTTGTAGCCACTGCTCCAGTTTGGGGGTTACTGCCCCGAGGGCCCCGATGACCACAGGCACCACTGTGGTCTTCACCTTCCAGGCCCTCTCCGGTTCCTCCCTGAGGCCCTGGTATTTCTCCAGTTTCTCGTGCTCCTTTTTCCTGATGTTGCAATCACTTGGTATTGCTACATCTACCACAACGGCTTTCCTCTGATGTTTATCCACTACGACAATGTCTGGTTGGTTCGCCATTACCATTTTGTCTGTCTGGATCTGGAAGACCCACAGGATCTTAGCTCTGGCGTTCTCTACCACCTTTGGGGTGTTTCCCACTTTGATCTCGGAGTTTCCAGTCCATATTCTGCACAGATGTTTCTATACACTATGCCTGCCACTTGGTTATGTCGCTCCATGTACGCTTTCCCTGCCAGTATCTTGCACCCTGCTGTGATGTGCTGGACTGTCTCAGGGGCCTCCTTGCACAACCTACACCTTGGGTCTTGTCTGGTGTGGTAGATCTGGGCCTCTATTGCTCTGGTGTTTAGGGCCTGTTTCTGGGCGGCCAGGATGACATATATCTGACTGTCCTGTAACTTTTAGATGCCTCTGCTGCACCTGAATAGAGTAATTGGTCATTAAGGTTCTGGGATCTTATGCACACCAGGAGGAGGTAATTAAGCCGTTTCATTCCAGTGTTTTGTTCCTGTTGCACATCTAAAAACTGCAGGACAGCGTCCCTCAAGGACTGGAGTTTGATGCTCCTGCTTTAAACAAAACTGTTTTAGATATATATCACAACTTTCGCTGTCCTAACATAAGATCGATAATCTCTGGGGAAATTAATCAATCTCCTCCTTGTGTTGTGCAGAATTACTCAGCTCGGTCAGAACCAGCATTAATCAGCTGATAGCCAAGCTGTCAAGAAGTTTTGAAATAGTCACTCAGGATTGTTTATTTAGATACAACCTGCATTTGACTTTGAATGAATGTCTATTACTTAATATGGCTTCACTGCCTTTGCTTTACCTTGACTTCTTCTTCAGTGTCATTTCAGACCACATCACTGATGGCCTTGTTTACTGTGAATAGTGACACATTTTGATAACTTCAGCCAACATTTTTACAAGGTCTTTTGCTTTTAATCTGTGGTGGATGCAGACATTTTGCACCAAAACATGTTCAACCACAAATTCCTTTCCTGACAACTTGTCTGATTTAATTTCAATCAAGTTATTCTTTCTTGGTTTCTCTCTCAACTTTTCTGAAGATCATAAAGTTGATCAGTGGTGCCTCAGGATTTGTTTATGATCTAAATGATTTAAATATCACATCTGACCTTTGATTCCTGTAAAAAAAAAAAAAATCTCCTGGGAATAATGTCTTTAAAACAATGCTGAAAGTTTTATTTAAAAAAATAACACTGGCAGTGGATGGCTATATAGTGAGAGCTGTGTTATTAAATTTCGAATGTAAGATGTTTTACCCTCCAATTCTGCCTGCAGATGTGTACTTCAAGAATAAAAATGCTTCCATGGCGTTATGTAATGGATGCATGACAAATAAAGTCAACAATAACACAGTGACAATAGCTAATAAAGTTTATTCATCCGTTTAAGAAAACTGTTAAACAATAATTACAACAAAGAACCAAATAAACCTCAAAGGGCAGTAAAAATATACCAAGTACAACACACTACTCCAAGTGGAAGAACAAAGAGCAACTTTCAGCAGCTGAACAGGAATGGCACTTCTGAGGTCTGTTTCACAAAGCTGGATCGACTCGAAGTGCACCTGAATATTCAAGCAGACACTGAGATGAGCTGTGAGTCAGATGAGGTCGAAGTTCATGAGACAGATTCCAGACAGCAGAAGACAGGAAAACCGGCTTGTCTGAACCGGGGAGGTGAAGAGGAATGAAACGCGTTACGGCAATCACTAAAATCAAACGAGAGCAAAGTTTACCATCGAAAAAGAAAAAGGAGACGTCGTCTGCCTGGGAATGAACAAGGCGGGTAAACGCCAAAGCAGCCACGCCATTAACATGCAAGGCGTCCATTTGCTTTACAGCTCAGGAAATAATACGCCCCCTGGTGGGAGGATGGGGGGGGTTCATTAGAAGCAACTGGACATAAAAAAACAAAGTGCAGCACTACAAAAAAAGCCTTGATATTTAAATGAAAAGAATTAAACTGAACTAAGATCAAAACCTCATTGATAAAAACACATTAAGCCCAAATCAAAGCGTTTAATTCACGTCTGTGAAAGCTTCACAAACCCTCATCACCCCCCCACCCCCCCACCCCCACACACACACACACGCAAGAAGATTTCCCTTGTCCAATTTCAGTCCATCAGCGCATTCATGGCACATCAGTAATAAAAGCCAGAGCAGACTCAACAGAAGAAATCTACAATATTAATCATCAACAGCTGTATTTACAAGAGCTATCGGGTTACTCTTTTAAACAGAGCAGAGATTAACGCTCCACATACACTTTGCATTATTTTAATAGCCCATATATGTCCCTGGATCGATGTTTTCCTGACAAGAGAGGTGGTCGATACCAGACTAGTAAGCATCTATAATCTATACAAAATAGATCTAAACCGACGGCCAATGACTGGTATGTAGATTTGTTTATCCTTAAAAGGCAACAACAAAAGCTACGGTTACAAATAAATAGCTACAGTTTCATCTAGTTCTTTTCTCTCTCTACATCTAAATGAAAGTCTATACTAATTATCGACAGAATACTATGGTAAGACCACTGAGTATCTTCTCTTCTTGTCTCCTCACTGTGCCGAACGAGCGGATTTTTGGTCCACCGAACAAACAAACACATTCCTTCATTGTCAATTGAGGTGTCAAAGACTGGAAAGTGCAGGATGCATCTGAGTTACGTCAGCGATCGAACCCTGCGTGCTTAAGCAGAACTGGACTTCTCTCGATGCGCGTAGACGTTTCGCCGCTCGCTCAGAGGGGCTTCTTCAATTCCCAGCATGGATGGAAGTAACAAGTTTACGGAACCAGACGAGCCGGACAACTGAAGACAACGGGGCCGTTAAGACGCGTGTTTTGGTCCCATGGTGTGAACTGGGACAAGAAACGACAGAAGAAGTCCAGTTGCCTTCTACTCGAGCACTTAGGATCGTCTTGACCTGGATGACTGAGAAATCTACGCCAGCGTCAGTGACTGAGTGAAAAACACAGCAAGTTAGCCCAGTCGCTTGAGAATCTGGTGGTGGCGTCTGATATGTTAAACCCGTCTGCATCTTCTTGCAGTGGCAACACTTTTGTTGGAACGGTCTTACTCTAAATCCCAGAAGGAAACTGGGAAAAAAAATAAAAACAAAAAAGTGCAGCAAAACTTTCAAAAAATAATTTGTAACAACTGCAAATGATTCCTGGACTACAATGTAGGGAATGCAATGCAAAAACTCTGGTGACTTCAGACAGACTCCTCATACACATGAATGTCTTTACAATTCAGGACTTGTACTTGTTTCCCCAAAACATTTCTCCTCGTTGAAATTAGGACAACAACTTCAATCATTTTTAAAAGCAAGAATGGCACAACTTTGCATAAAATATAAACATACAGCCTCGCTGATATGTAGCTATTGATAGGATGGGAGTAACTTCTCCACTGATATCGTAGGAAAATTATCGTTGCCTGAAAATTTTCCAAAGCGTTTCAACATTCCCGCAGATGACAAACGCACATCAGTGTAAAAGTGAAATGAGAGCAAACTCGAAAGGTAAACCTTTGTAAGAAAAATCGAAGGCGGTAGGAGTAAAAAACCAAAACCCAAGTGATCTCGCAGGGAAAGTTTTCAGTGTGAACAGCAAAAAAAAAAAATCAGATAAGCAGGTTTTAATATTCTCGAATATTGATTAACATAGACAATAATGCCAAATTTTTGGACTTATAATCAAGGTTTACAAACCGAGTGGAGACCTGTCCATTTACTTGCTGGTGAGATTTTCTTAGCACGATGTAAAGGTACTTTCCACTTCAGACAATAAAATTCTAACCGTGGACTTAAACAAATTAAATCCATGGTTAAAACCCCGACATGAATGACATTCATGCCCACAGAATCTTTGTGAGTCATCAGAGTTGTACATGTCATTAAAAAGTCATGAAAGTTTGGATTTCTGCAGCTGAACTAATAATCAAATTTGGATGTACACGCAGGTAGGTGATGATAAAATTGTAGCATGCAGAGGCACTGAGTTCAAAGAGTTCATAGGCCTGCAGTAAATACTCTGAACATGCTTACATTTCAGTCGAAATCTGATTTCCTACTGTACAAAATTACGTCAGACTTCCAATGGAAGCATTGTTTTTTTCTTCATGAGTTACATTACTTATACTGTAACAATCCATTCATACACAGTATAATCACACATATATTTTGTATACAAGTTGTGAACATTCCATGCAGCATTATAAAACCCCGTCTTTGAATAATATTGATTGGAAAACAAAGAGTATATTGATCGGTGTACTAAAGCCTACTGGTTCTTTGACAGTCGTCCGTTAATACACAGATGAAATAAACGACTGGTGTCTGCAAAGGACGCTTTCGTTTCGCTTTCACCAATCTGGGCTGGCAAGTCCAGTCTTCACACACTGTGCGCCGAGTGAAGCACATACACAAGTCAGCTTGACACATGTGCCCGTCTTTTCAAATTCAGCGCCGACTTCTCATCGCCTTCGAGGTGCGCGATGGTCAGTCGGTGGCTAAAAGCTGTCGTAAAAAATGGCGTTTTGTTCCCCCCCCCCGACATGTGACGAAAGTGATATTACTGATTGGATTTTCCTGAATCACATTTATGTCACATGAGATCTCCGTCATTAGTTTCAGGCAACATCTGAGTTTGAAGTGCCGACGCCGACCTCTTAAGATGCAGAGGATGAACAAATTAAATCTTGCAAGCGTCAAACCGACACTGCAGACATAGTGATGGTTTCATTTAAAAGGTCTAAGATGTGTAAACATTCCCAGGTTTAAGTAGGCTGTTTTGTGTGTGTGTGTGTTTCTTTTTTTACATATATTTTTGTACTATCTATGGAAGTATAAAATGGTTTGGCAAATAAGCGGGGAGAGTTACGTGCAACAGCGTCCCTGCCTTTGGAGTGCGAACCGGGTAGAGTTTGGGGAGACCTGAGGTGCATTCTCTTCATGATTGTACAGATTTTGATTTTTTTTTTCTTTTTTTTTAGTTTAGAGAGGAAACGACAGTGCGATCCACACGCCAGGCCAACTGGCTGCAGAAACACTTCAACAGATCTACCGTCAAAGTAGATCTGTTCTGCTCCACGTCTACTGTGCTGTTCCAGTTTGAATCATCAAGTCGATCGTTATCATGCTATCAACTATGCAGATTAGTAACGGGTACGATTACTCTGAACACTAACGAAGCTGAATCTCCACTGGCTCTGTGGTGTCAAGGCAACTACTTCAAAATGCAAGAATTCGTGGCCAGATAGTCTGATTGAAGAAAACGTAACTACGAAAATAATGAAAAGGATTTATTTACAAAGAGAACTGCCACTCAACAAAAATAATCTTTGATTTTGATAAACATTAAATGCATTAATTAGAAAAGATCTCGCATCTGGCTCGCTTGACTTTACGCTCGGCCACACCGAAGTGACCGGGCCTGCAGCTGCCTGGATGGCATCAATGACACTAATGAAGACCTATAGAGGGGTTGGCATATGGTAACGATTATGGCCTATAATTGGTTATGGCTAAACAAGTTGAAAGTCAGGGCACTGGTGCTTGGAGGCAAGGGTACCCTCATTGGGCTCGTAAGACAAGACAAGAAGAAGTATACAACGGAGGCTGTTCTACTGCTCGCCCATTTCAGCAGGGTCGCAGTCGGAAGGCGGTGTGGATGACTGGAGGTGGTTGGAGACGGGTAACAGGTTCAGGCTAGAGTCCTCTGCGGCTTCGCTGGGGACGGGCTCAGGTAGGGTCAGTGTTTCGGGGGCGGACTTTTTACGAGGCCGGTCTTTGGGGACAGAGAGGGATTCGGGTGCATCCGTGCACATCGGGGTTGACGGGGCACTGGCCGGGCCAGTTAGGGCGCAGGAGGACAAGGGGGTCTCGCTTATGGAGATTGATGGGGGAAACACCCCGATCTTCTGGTTGGTGGCCTCCTGGATGGTTCGCTCAAACTCTCTGACCTCATCCATTGTCATGTCTGGAAAGAGATTTCACAAGAGACAATACGCAGGTTAGTGTTTTTGTGTGTTCATGTGTTGGCATTGTCTTGGCATGTGGCTCTTACTACAAATGATCTATTTTGTTCATGTTTTGGATGGAGATGCTGGTTATATTGTTCTTTTGCATTTTTGGCCTTTTTGTACCCAGAAAAGGCGCCACCAGCCAAGGAATCATGAGTCAAATCCTTACAGACGATTCAAACGTACTTTGAAAACAAAGTAAGTTTCTATCAACCATTTGTGGCTTGAATATATGGATATATGGCTATAATAAATAATACACATCAGTAGAAATCTAATCAGAGCCATTTTGATTTAATCAACGCAATGTTTTTTTTTTTTCTAATTTTCGATTACATCTTGTCAGCTGGCAATGGCCTCAATAAACACGATGTTGTTTTTAAAAGCAAGATTGTAAATTCAAGCAGACATCGCTGTGCAAACAGAATTGAAAACGAGTCCAGTTACCAAGCCTTATTTTCACTTAGGAGCATTTTACTATTTCATCACTAAACCTTAACTGAAGGGTCCTTTGGAGACTGTGAAGCCCACTTTCTACTTCAACATGACTTCTTTAGGAGAAGAGTGCCATCTGGTGTTTGCAAATACAAATTACAGGCTGCAAAGTGAGTTTTTAAAGCAGCTTATCAAGGTGAACAGCTCCAATCTGAATGGACTTTATGCATAAATAGGAATAAATTCCTGAAAAGGTAGATGGATTTAGTCATTCTTCCCCATTTAGAGGAAATATTTGTCTAAAAATAAACTCAGAACCTGAAAATAATATTTAACTTAATTAAACAAAAGAAAAACAAAACATTACTTAAACACCAAAAGATAGGTCACATGGTTTATGTTCATAGTTTGATATTTATGTATTATTATTATTATATTACCATGATGTTTTTTTAAACTTTAGTTTAAAACAAATCCAGTCAAATGTTTGTTTATTTTTAGTTCCAAATTCATTGCCTTAGGAAGCTTTCACCACCTAGAAATATGAGACAGAGAAGGGAAAAATTTAGCAAAAAGAAAAAAAAGGCACATACACTTGCTTTGTCATGGATCTCTATGTCATCCAGGGAAGATGGGTTTGTTGTGGAATGCTCTTGCTGCTCATTGCAAACTTTAATGTTGGTTTTCTCATGCATTTTTCTCTCGTAATCCCGAACGTCATCCAGAGTCATATCTGCAAAAGGTGAGGGAAGTCAGGCTTGCAATGAGGGTCAAAACGTCGGCACCGATCCATCACGGCTTTCCAGCTCACAGGCTTAGGTTAAGAGAAGGGAAGGACTCGCTGGCACCGATACGCTGTGGCTGGCACCGATACGCTGTGGCGAGGTTAGCGACGTAGCGGGTAAAGTGTTAGTTGCCCAGGACCCAAAGACAGTGAAGGACAAGTCCAAGCCAGGAGGGAACGAGAGAGGAGGAGGGAAGGGGGAGAAATGGAGAAGTTTTTGGGATGATTCAAGATTAATGGATAAGCAAGAGGAAGTGGAATCACTGGAAAGAAAAATGAAAAAGGTGAAACTTTTTTTTTCCCCCAAGAAAGTAATTTCACAAGGGGAAAAATAAGAAGCGTCCAGGTTTCAGCTTAGAGGGAAGTATTGAGATGAGTGGTTTTTGTGGAGAGGAGTGGTGAGTCTTTCTGGGGAAAGATAAAAGCCTTGTTTTGTATTTGTGTGCATGCGTGTGCACCACAGCTGTGGGCGATGGGAAAAAAAGAGCTGAAGAGCTGAGAAGGAGTAAACGTGCTGCCTGAGAGGCGAACACAAGGCACCGTGCAGCCGAGGAAACGGACCGAGCCAACACCAACCGCACCAGTTTCAGCTTTTCAAGACAAATTATGTAGAAGCTTCCTCGAAAACAGAAAACACAAGGCTCAACGCTCATTTTACAGTTTTATCAAATCAGACTGGTTTGAATTTCTCTCCCGAAACATGTTTTTGTTTTATTTTAACTGGAGCAGGCTGATGGTGGTCGCCGTGTTCAGCGTTGGTGGGTTAGTAGTGAGCGGAGGATCCATGCTGTACACAAATGTGTTAAACGCAGGCGGCATGAATGGCGCATCACCGATTACAATGACTTAATTAAAAAAAAAAAATGCTGACAAAAATACAAAACAAGTTATTTTAAAAAATGTAGCTGTACCTATCCATTCGTCAACCCAAGCAAACGCCTGCCTGTGTCCCAGCAGCAGCACGTCTCTGACCACCTAAAACACAAAGCAAAGACTCGGTCAAACACGCTGCTAGTGATGCAACATTTTCATCCTTTTTTTTCCGTTCACATGATTTGTTTTTCTCAGGATTATCCTTACAATCAGCTATTTTAACTGCTGAGATCCGAAGTTCACCGAAAAGAAAAACATTGTAAAAAGTAACATTTATGGTTTTCTGCAGCAAGCAGACGCAGCAGAGAATAACGGAAAAGTTGCTGTGGGGAACAAATACAGCTCAATTTCATTTCTTTTCTTTTCTGAAATATTCAATCTAAACAGGTCGTTTTCACTTAGTTCGCCGTAGTTAAAGGAGTCGCAACAGCTAAAGTAAAGCAGAGAAAACAATTTTACTTGATAGATGTATATCAGCATGATTATCACAAAACAACAACTTTTTCTGTCAGTTTTGTGTGGACCTTACTGAGCAACATGCTAACGCCAGCACTTTAGCAAACAGCTTCGCATGAAAGCAGGAGGGTATCAGTTTATCAGAATTATTAGAGCTTTTCTAGCATAACTTGTTTAGGTTTATAAGTCTTGCAGAAACGTTTTCTGGTACAAAATATTAAACTCCAGGATCCTGGATCTTTAGCTCCTTTAATGTAGCTAATCGATACGGATTGGATCAGTGATTTACAATGGGAGCACTTTTACTCTCGTGGTTTTTCTGGACACGTCTTTTGTCCAGTTATCTCAGGTTTACTTTAGCTGTGATCGTTTGAATGGGATAACATTGAGCCAAGGCACATTTTGTCAGGTTAAGTTGTGTTTCTTTAATTTTTTTTAATTATTATTAATTTTTATTTTTTTTAACTTTTTGGGGTTTTCACATTTTTTTAAAGACTTTGACGCCTATTCATAAAAAAAAAATTCTGAAAAACACTTTTAATGTATTTTTGTTTTCTTTTTCATTTCAAGATAAATTTATATAACTTATGTTTTGTTTTGTTTTGTTTTTTACTGCTCTGGGCTACTACATTAATCTTAATAACTTTACTGATTTTAGATTTACTGTCATACATTAAATTCATAATCGTAAATGAATGTGAGTTCATCTTAGAAGCAGAGACTTGATGTTGGAGGAGGTTCTCCAGAAAATTGTTTGAATTTAAAACTTAAAAATAATAACAGTAATAATGAAGCGACCTGACCCAGTTCTTAAAAAGATGTGATTTGCAGGGGAAAAGGCTGATAGATTTATGATTGAAATGTGTGTGTTTGCTTGTTATTGTTTTACTGTCCATCTCTCCTCACCCCACTGTTGACCTCTCACCTTGTGCACAAACTGCTCCACTCGTGTCTGCAGGCCCCACACCTCAAACTTGACCGTGACCAGTTTGTAGGAGCACATGATGGGCTCCTGTGTGTCCCTCCAGCCTTCCTGCAGTATGCCTCGCTTCGTCTTTTCCGACTGGAAATACCGCAAATCCTGGAGGTCGGAGGTAACATTTGTTTGTTTCATACAGTGGCTCAAGCAAAACGGACGCGCCGACTTAAGCCTAGAAAGTAAATAGTGACGTGTGTATAACAGCCTCAAGGTGAAAAAGAAATCCTAAGAGAGGCAAAAACACAAAACCTTACCAAGTGTTTTTGTCCAGTTTCTTGTACAAATAGTTTTAGTACGGATGAATTAAGACAAAACTCACCTAGCAGTAACTTAGCAGCAAGATAAAGAAGTTTGTTTTAAGTACATAATTTTTTGATATTGATGAAGAAGTTCTAGTTTCAATGGCAGATTGCTTCACTTACAACATGGGGGAAACTGTCCAGTTATAAGTGGAATAATATGCCAATTGAAGTAAAACTTTTTCATCAACATTAAGAAATTAGTGACTTAAAACAAGTTCTCATCTCGATGAAAAGAGGGTTAGTTTTGTCTTATTTCAAGTCTACTAAGATATTTGCACTAGAAACTAGACAAAAATACTCGGTAAGATTTGGTGGTGAGCGGGGCTTTTTCAGTGTAAAGTTGAGTTTGTCTAATCTAAACCCTTAAAAGTGACTGTTTAACTACGAAAAGGGTTTGAATTTTTTCTCCTGACTATTACGACATTAATCCACACAAAACACTGTTTCATATGACTGATTGTGTTCCATCTTTGTACTCCTAAGGCTCTACACACTCCCACGTACCCACACACACATACACACACACACACGCACTCACACACACACCCACACACACACGCGCGCGCACGCTCACCTCGGACTCTTTGTAGTAGCGCTCGGGGATCTCATCGTAGGCGATGTCGACGAAGCAAATCTCCCTCTCCTGGTCCTTCAGCTCGATGTCAAAGATCTGGAAACAACAAAAATGTTGTGTTTTTTTTTTTGTTGTTGTTGTTGCTGGTGTTTGATGCTAAATTCAACATTTATTTTCTTGCCTCTCATCACAAAAACTGCCGAATTAAACACTGGAGCAAATTACGCTGAGTCTCAGAAGCACATGGTGTGTCCAGCCACTAGGGGTCGCTCTAAGCTCACTTCTTCAGCTGCTTATTGCACTAAATAACCAGCGCTGACTTCAATTACTGTCATATGTTTAGTCAGCTGATGGCACAAAAGGTGAAAGCTTTCCGTTTTGGGTGTTTATTTTATTTTATTTTTTTGCCTTCCCAGTGTATGTAATTCCAACTCTTGAATATTGTGCATGTGTTTTAATTACTCACATTTAAATTACAACATAATATTTTGTGTCACAAGCTTTAAAGTTAAACACTAAAGGGTCAACGAACCTCTTTGCTTCTACAATTATCAAAGCGCTCAAAATAATTGTTCTACACAGGAGTAAGTAAAACCTTACTTTCTAATTTTACCATTCTGAATAAGATGTGAGGCGGGGGGGGACCCATGAAGGAGATGTTACATAAAATATGAAAAAACACGTCGATCTCAAACAGATTTAAAGCTCCGCGCCGGTTTCTGTCCCCTCCAGCGTGGCAGCGGCGATGACGACGACGACCTGTGAGCGACCCAGACACGTGAACGGGACGCCCGCCAAAACGTCGGACCGTTGAAATAACTCACAAGGAGAATTTTGAATAAGCCGACGCACTTTAAGCCTTTCATTCCTAGGCATCCAGACGGTGGCACCCACCCCTCCGAACCGGAGCGCACAGGGTGAGCAGATCAACAGCACCAAATTAAATTAACTTTACAACAACTGGAGCAGAACCTGGCCAACTCAAAGCTTCATGTGTTCTGGGCATTTTAATAAGGTGGCCTGTAAATCATCACTGCAGCCTGGGAGAATTTCCCTCCTGCAGCAATGCGGAGGTCCGTCTTTTTACGCCGTTGTCTGCTTCGATGGACGCTTTTTTCTGCAGGAAGGGAACAGGCAGCCGTTTTTAAGATGAAAGTATTGAGCGCCGGGGGAGCTCGGTTAATTAAGCGACTGGGTCTAGATGCTGAAGTCGGATGCAGTGGAGTTTGAGTCGAGGCACAGAGATAACATGTAATGATCGAGGCGATGTCGAGGGAGAAGACGTTTAAATCGAAAGGCGCATTCCCAGCAGTTCTGTTTGGTCCGCTGCCATGACATTCTGGTTTGTTTGTCTAGAGGTGAAGACGCGCAAACACTCGAACACCTAAAAGATTAGGCCTCAGTTCGGAGAAAACCCCAATGAACAAACGTGAGAGTCTACCGCTGGTGGGGAAAATGGTCTTTTACCAAAGGCAAAAGGAAAATCCTACAACCGCTAAAGTCCAACGCCGCGCCATTTCTAAACAGAAATGTCAAAACATTTCGCAAAGAAGGTTTTTCAAAGGGTTTGGTTCGTTTGACACAGTGCAGTGTGAAAGGGAGCTGAAAAATATGACAAAAAATGCAATTTTGGTCCCCAATTGAACCTAGTCTGCCAAACCATCAGGTGTAAAAACACCCTAAAAATCTTTAACTTCAGCCAGTAAAGAGGAATCTTGTCGGTTTTGGAAACGTATCCATTCGGTTGACGTGAGTTGCTAAAAATGCCAAGAGGTGCGAGATTAACGGAGCACATTCGAATCACTAATGACAGAAGAGGTTAAGTCAATTTGAGACCAAACACAACATCACAAATTTGCCCAAATGGACAAAGGTGGCCTGCGCAGCGTCAGCAGTATCAGGGCCCTATCAGCCTTCAGGCCGTCTGCAGTGGAAAACAGGACGGACGCCTGTTCCTGAAACGTGAAACACCACGACGAAAACAAAACTACCTGGGCACCGCCATTTGTTCCAGTGAGCAGGTGACCCCCGCCGTACTTACGTTGTCGTTGCTTCCTTTGTTGTCCTCGTATTTTGTCTCTATGTGGATGGAGAACTTGGGCAGGAATGAGCACTGCAAAAAAAGAAAGGAAAAAAAAAAGAGAGAGAAATATTTCTGTCATTCAATCTCTCTTGAGGGAAATCACTGTCCATGCAATATTACAGCAGGCCTACTATCTTATTCAGAGCCCTTGAGCTTTTTCCATGTGTTCAACTCAATTCTCCTCATTTGCATCAGATAAATTCTCGACAATTTATCTGACAGTTCGTCCGTTCAATCCGATCACACAGGCAGATTTATGGTCAGCCGCGCTGCACGACTGCAAAAACACAAAATCTTACCACGTTTTCTTTTTTTTGGTCCGGTTTCTAGTGCAAATATTTTATTACAGATGAAATAAGAGAAAACTAACTTACAAGTAACTTTTCAGCACAATGCAGGAGCGTGTTTTAAGTAAATGATTCCTTAATATTAATGAAAAAGGGCAGATTATGTAGCTTATAAGGTATTTCTCCTGTGTTATGGATGAAATAATCTGCTCGTTGGCTTAAAACGAGCTCTTATATATTCTTGAAAAGTTACCTTGACGCTGGTTTAGCCTTATTTCATATGTTCTAATATATTTGCACTAGAAAGCAGACTAAAAGTACTTTGTAAGATTTAGTGTTTTTGCGACCACAAGGGGTAAAAACGCTTGAAGTCGCAGCGTTTATTTATCACATCTATATAAGGGCAGCCGTTGCAAAATGCTTTCACTTTTAATCCACACCGAAACGAGAAAGCAGGTGCTAGAACCGCCTGCTGCGGTTTGGCAATCCGACTAAAAAACAAAACAATCCTCCGTGGATTTAATAGGCCGACTTGGAAAAAAATGACAAGCATTCTGCTGCTGTCAAAGTATTTCGTTTTTTCAAATGAGGAAAAAAAGAAAAAAGAACGAAGTGACTCACGGAGCCGCGTCTTTAACTCTGAATTACTGCAGCCCCTACGGCTCAGCCTCACAATATGTCGGTGTGTTTTTGATGTGAGCCTTTTTTAAAGCCAAGGCCCGACGTATCCTGTGGGTTAAAGACAGACCACACAGACTGAGGCATGCTGGGTAAACGCGGTTCTGTGTGCTCTGCAAGTCATTTTGAGGAGTGTGGGGCGGATTTTCAGCCCCACAAGTTTTATCTACGCAGTTTGTTTTCTTTCCAACTGTACATTTAGCATCTTACCAGCTTTAAGATCTTTAAAAAGAAAAATGGATCCAATTAATTGTTTTACAGGAACAAAAGATCAAACGTTGATGAAAAGTAGTGTAGAGTCTGCTTGCATTCGGCCCTTTGCCTTATTTTCTGTAGGTGTGAACCGTTACTTACTGTATATTCTTCAGGCAGAAGCGCGACGAGGCAGACGGGCGTCAGGTCAGAGCAGAGGAGAAGCACAAAACAGACAAGTTAGCCGACAGCCATGAATCTATTTATGCTGAAATCAAGGACGACAAAAAAGTGGAATTTAACTTGAGCTTATCCTTTTTATGGATTAAATGCTTCAAAAAGAGCAAGAAACTGTAACAGACAGACATTAAGACTGATAAGTCGACAAATCAGAATCTACTCTTGTCCATCACTGTGCAAACGGTCAGTGGCGATGAAGGTGGAGCAAGAAGCGGAGGAAAATGACAAGAAGGGAAAAAGAAAAGGGCACCGAGGTGAACCGCTGCGGCCGTATGCTCTGCCATGCCAACCGCAGATTACAGATTAAAATAAAAACAGAAGTAAAACAAATAACCTTTCTTTAACAATTAAAAAGAAAAAGGTGTTACACATTCGCACTAAAGTTTCACCAGGTTCGATGCGGGTTTCATATTTAAGATGTTTAAAGATGTTTTTTAAGATCATAACAATATAATTTAAGACAGAAATGGGCTTTTTTTGTGACAAGGGACCAAAACTGTGAGGTATAGTTTAGTGACTTTTTTCCAGCAGCAGCAGCTTTGTGCTGCTCACATGGCGAGTGGCTCTCAGCAGCACTAACCCTCGCAGCACCAAGCTTTTCTTTTTTGTTTTTTGCACACAATGGACGCAGCATCTTATGGGTTTGGCAGCAGAAGTTAGCCAGCGGCAAAGATGAACGTCGTCCAGCTGACTGATGATAAATGTGCTCTCCGTAGACTAATCATAGACATTAAAAAAATTAGTTTTCTTTCACATTATTGAAAGAAATTAACTTTCGATTGGATTCTAAGAATATCGAGATCCACCTAAAAGCTGGGCGTGGGGGTTAAACGCGCACAACACATTTTAAAAATACACGTGCCAAAATTGCAAACAAGATTGCCGAATTACATAGCATATGTCCGGAGTTTCACAGTTTGTTTGTTTTTTTTGTTGTTGGACAATCCAATTCCTCGAGCTTTTATCAAAACGTGTTAAAAATGCGCCGTGCAGATTAACAGTTTGGATCCCGTTCCTTCCCTGCTCTCTTCACACTGCTCCAATGCACTACTAACATCCAGTGAAGTGTCTCTGCAAAGTGTTAAGTGGTGGCTAAAATCTGTTGTGGCTAAAAAAAAAAAAGGAAAACTGTTTGAGAAGGTGACCTTAGAAAGCTGCGTCGGGCTCCATGCGACTGCAGTGAGGAGCGGTTCTGTGTCCGTACCTGGCAGAGTGTCACAGCGGGGCTTTTGGAGAAGCGGCTGAGCAGCACATCTGCGCTGCACACTCACCCGTTATGGTGTAAGGGTAGTAGTTCCAGGCTTTCTCTGTGACGTAGAAGATTTTAGGAACCACTGCTCGGGCCCAGCTGGGTAATTTACTGCGGAAATGAGACAGAAACGGAGACATTGGACGAGGGACAGTCAGGACGCAGACGTTCACTGACATCAGGCTAAAGCCACATCTACCTGATCCATTAGCCTTGATCCCTGCTTTACTCTACAATAGTGATGTTTAGATCACGCCTAAAAAAATCCAACCTGCCCTGAGCCCAATTCGACCCAATTGACTTTAATTACGAGCCCAAAGTAGACCTGATGCATTATTTTAAGATTACACAAATTTTGTTTGTGTCGCTTCTTCTGTAATCGACTTTTGCTTAACGTCTTCCAGCTCCAGCTTGTTGCTTGTTGTAACCACCGGGTGAGTCAGGTGCCAATATTCTGAGATGAGAAATCTGCTGCTAGCGTTCTCACGAAAACCAAAAACTTAGAGCACATCACCTCGGTACTAACGTCCCTACATCGGCTCCCTGTGGCTCAGAGAATAGACTTCAAAATACTGCGGTTCGTTTAGGAATCGCTGACTGGGTTAGCGCCAGGATGCGTTAAAGATCTAATGCTGTTGCATCAACCTGCCAGACCCCTCAGCTGTAGGGGGTCAACAAAACATGCAGCATTCGGCTTCTGTGCGCCACAAAATCTGGAACACATTTTCAGAAAACTGCAAAACAGCCGAAACACTGAGTTCCTTTAAATCCAGCCTATAAAACCCGCCTGTTCAGAGCAGCTTTTGGAACACAACACATGAAACACGAACCAACACGACAGGGAGCAAAATGTAAAATGTTTACTGGTTTTCTCGGTTGTTTACGTGTCTTTTAGGACTTTGTGTTTTTCTTACGTGACGCACTTTGAACTGCCTTGTCACTGAAATGTGCTGCGCAAATAAACTTCATTGACTGATTGATGCAGCGCGCTGCGCCTGTTACCTTCTGCACCTCAACAGGTTAAAATACCTTCTCCTTCATTTACACCTTAATCAGAAGATTAACGCAACTTTAAACTGCACATTCTCTTTCAGTTTTCTGCATGTATTATCAGCTTTTTAAACACTCCACAGAAGCCTGAGCGCGACCCCATCATCAAGCAACATCATTCAAAAAAATGTAAACTCTACAAACTGCTCTGGATTGCAATTATTCAAGTGCTGAAACGTTCAAATGAGACGTTATATGATTTGAGTTTGCATTAAATGACAGTGGGGGGAATTACAGTTGTTACTTCTCCATTATTTTCCCAATGCTGTTTGCTCTCTCTCTATAATCGATTCACAAATCGGTCTGCACTCTAAACATGCAGGAGCAAAGTCAGAGCGGGAGATGATCGTTGTCCTTTGAGATCGATGGGAGAGACGCTCTAAGCCTCCCTGTTCTTGCTCTCTTTTTTGGGCATTCCCCAACTTTAAGAGCCGACAGACACACGAAGAGCTACACTTAACCATCCTCACACCGACCGCTTCCTACAGAATCCGTCACATACACCTGAGTGTTTCTTAGTCAAAAAAAAAGAACAAAACCTGCTGCATCGTGACAGCAGTGAATAAAATCAGTCTTCCACTGTGATATTTTTTTGAGCATTGGCAGGCGCAGTTGCCCTCCCCTTCTCTCCCCCCCAACAAAAGAGACTGACACTCCTCCCACACCTCCATCTGTTGATTGCTCCCGTTCCCTCCATGCTCATTTGACAGACTACAGGCGATTTCTTGCCCATGCTGCCAAGCAAAGACGTTTGCATTTTAAGGGAGGAAAGGGGGAACAACAACAACAACAACAAAAAAAGCCCATTTAAATAGAGCTGACAGTTTATCAAGTTCATATTGGTGAGATGAAGTTAAAAGCATGTGACAACATCGGGGTAAGAGTGTTTTAAGTGTGACAAATGAAGTCCAGATTGACTTCCCTGCTGGTGAATCTCAGCTTAATGTTTGTTTGCCGCAGAGCCAGATGGACGAAGGACTGATTTTGAGTAACTGCAACAATAGTTGTGTTATTAATTCTGCCGATTACGGTGTTTTGTGTTGTTTTTTTTTTTTTTTTTTCTTTTTCCATTTGCTTGATGTTCAGCATTCGATTAGCAAAGATCGCATGCGGACTCCAATTTCATCTGGAGACGACCCAATGCTGGACCGTCTCCAGATGACGGCGGTGGAGTCGGGGCGTTTTTAATTCCGCCGCACAGATGCGATCATTACCGCCATCATAAACCATCTCTGATGCAAACACTTAGGGAGAATGAAGCGCGTTCACCTTCACCGCCAAAACCTTCAAACCCTGACGGATGACGTACGACAGTCGCCTGTTTCTGAACACTTGAACCGTTTCTCACACTTTTAACAAAAACAAAACTCATCAAAGTTGGACTTGTTTGCCCATGTTTTTAACCAAAAGCACTTGATAAGTTTCTACAGTTCTCACGGGCCGAGCGGCTTTAATTGCTTTCTCCTGGAGGTTCGCTGACTCAGCATAACTGGCTTCCCAGCTCAGCGAACGCTGACGCAGGAAACCGTGCCAAAAGACAAATGGCCGACCGAATCTCTTCCACCCCTCCATTTTCACTCTTTGGTCATTCCTTCTGCTTGTTTTCTCCTCTGCTTACACATTTTATTATTCTTACGCCGTCACCTTCGCTTGATATTTACTCAGTCTGCTGACACGAACCGTGTAGAAAAAACTGCGAGGAGGCTATAACAGAGATACTGCTCTGTGAAATGTCTGCTGGAAAGGAGGATGGCTGGGTTCATGCGTTTCAGGAATAAGAAATGTACTATTTTTTCATTATTTGCAGCATCTTAAACAGTAAAAAATTGTAAAAAAAAAAAAAAAACAACAAAAACAGAAAAAACAAAAATGGTTTTGTTTAAAGGCATCTAATTCATTTCCTCTTCAAAAGTCTTTAGGTTGTTCTTACACTCATTAACCCAGAATTATTTATACCAGAAAAAAAATCCAAAAAAGATGTTTTTAATAAATCAGGACGTTTCAAAGACCAAGTCAAAACTCCTCCAGTGACAATTCAGCAACAGTAGTGGTATTTTTTTTTCACATTTGTCATTTTTGCACACTCTCTTTGGCAACTGGATGTAACTTTATTTCAGTTTTCCCAACATTGTTGCTACTCCAAATGACTCTCGCATGCTGGATGACTTTGGCGTTTCTACGCACGTTCACAATTAAAATACGCAAATCACACAAAAAATCTAATTCCACGATTTTCCAAAGATTTCCAAACTGCAGTGCAACGTTCAGACACTTGCAGGCATCGAAACGTAAAAGCACATGTTGCAGTTTACTGACAGGTAACAAGAGAAAATAATGCAACATTTTCCAATTTAAAAGGGAGAGAAATAATGAAAATAATAAGAAGAAGAAGATCAAGTTTGAGCTAATTTCATTTTTGGGTGTGTTTATAAACTGGAGTTTAATCACAGATGATAAGTCAGGCATTATAATAAAAAAAATGAAGCAAACATTTGGCTAATTGGCCTGTTTAATGATCTCTCTGAAACTTTTAACAGTGTGGGTAATTGTTCACTGTTGCTCTAGTTTCAGTCTTCTCACATTCAGCTACTCAAATCCAGATGGCTTATGGTGTTCTTTGGACTTTTCCTAAAAAAAATCTGGTTTTTATGAAATCCGCCCAGAAAGTCCCAAAATACTCCAGACACATTAAGTTGTTTCCCGGTAGGTGGAATCTAGCAGCACCGACCTGTTGAGGTAGACGCGTTTCTCTGTGAACTGTCCTTGGCCGTGAACTGGGTCTTCAAAGGGTTCGTTCTGGACCACCTCCACTCCTTCCCCTCGGTCGCTCTGCTCATGGCTGTGTTTGCTAATCATGTACAGCTGCCCGATCCGGTACTGAGGGGGGAAAAAAAGAGAGAGAGAGGAAGGATCGTGAGTTTACATGCCGCAACACACATTAAAAAAATTATGGATACTTTAACTGCAAACATGCTGACCGCTATGTCAGCTAGAGATGAGTCAGTTTTCTGTCAGGGCATCACAAACACACACACACACACATCTGTAAATCTTTTCATCCTGTAGCCTGGGTGGATGTGAACCCTCCAGAGAGGTCTGCAACAAAGCATCAGATTTTCAGTCCACTTTTCTTTTTTTCTTTTTTTTTTACTTAAAAAAAGCAAATTTTGTGTTCAAGCAGGAAACCTGCAGCATTTTTTTTTTTGCCTTCTATGTAATTTAGACCTCAAAGAAAGCAGAAAAAAGTTGGTAGCGTTACTGATAAATACGGCATTGTGTTCATAATTTGAGAAACAATTCAGGTTTTTGCTCATAAAAACCCATGTCTGCGCACACGACATGAACTCAAGGTTGTTCCTGGCGTGACGACGTGTTTTCAAGAAAAGGTCAACATTGAGATTTTAATTGCCGGCTCGTTGGGTTTGATTAATACATTAAATCAAAACTAATTAAAAAACCCAGCTCCTGCCCTCAACAAGTCAATGAGCTGAAGGCAGCACTTCGGTGAGGGTTTAACTTCGTCTTGTGAAACTTTTGACGGGAACAAAACGCCTAAATGGAAAAGCAGAATGAAGATCGGAATATTAAAAACAGATTTCGATGGCCGGGAACAGCAAATTATGTCAGCTTCTTTGATTTTCACTTTTCTTATTCGACTCATTTCTCAAAGGTGTAAAATACTTCAGCAAAAACTGTTTCACACATTTTTCCTTTTACATGTGAATTTTGATCAGTTACATAGATTTTCACATGTAAATATTATTGTGATTACTATTTAAAATACAGAAGTCATGAGCCGGAACCATTGAAGTAGCTCGTTTCTGGTACGCCGGTAATTCTGACGTACAAGCAACAACCGCAAAACAGCAAGTCATAAGGAGGGTAAAGCCACGACTGCTGGCCAACTGGGGATTCATTTTTACTTTAAAAAACAATCTGATGAGACACTGGAAAAGACTGTCAGTGCGTGAACATTGTGCTAAAAGGAGTTAGCCTGTTAGCAAAGCTATTCATGGCTAAACTAGCATCTCAGCGCTAAACGTGTAGCAGCAAAGAAAGATGCGCTTGTCAAAGCAGTTCCATGAATAATCAAGTGATATTTTTTGTTGTTGTTGACGTCATATGTCTGTCATTTATCCATCAATTTAGCAGCAAAAAAGGGTTGCTAAATTAGTCAATATATGGTTTTTGATTCAAATTCAATTAATCGCGACTAATTCGACTCCAGTCCACCCGCTATTTTCTTCCCAACACTTTTATCAGGTAAAAACTGTGAACTCTCTCCCTGATGCAATTTTTGTCTCAAAGACTGGAAAAACAAACAAACAAAAAAAAAAAAACAAGACTAAAATCTTCGAGGCGAGAGCCAGGACCTGGTAATGAACCGAGTCCCGCCTGTTTCCTCCTGAATCTCAACGCTGCTTCTCTCCCTGACCTTTACCTGTCACGCCTGCAGGCTGAGTTGTGAAATGCTGCCGGGGGGGAAAACGTGAGGCGCTCACCCACAGTCATTCAGATGATGTCACCACCTCTCTGCTGCTGCTGCTGGAAAAATCTCTGATGGATACAACTACCTAACTGCATGTGGGAGAGTAAATCGAACAATTATGTAAAAGGAAAAAAAAAAAAACGCTAGAAAAGATTGCCGTCTTTGGGGACCGAGGAAACGTTGGGGGTGGAGGAGATTTGTTCAGACACTTTCGGGAAAACAAATCGATTCCCCCTGAAGAGCATTTTCTTCTTAGAATCAAATAAGTCATGAGCAAAACAAGAAATAGCAACCTATTTTAAAAGCAGAGAATGACAAGAAAACAATTGACTGAAATCTGAACAATAAACAGCCAGTCAATGCCGAGATAAAATTATTTTCTGAACCCGGCACATTTTTGCCTGACAGAGGTGAGAGTGATCATTGTTATGCCTAATGTACCGTCCAATGGTCAAGTCTGCTTTAGCGACAAAAGTGTAATCATCTGACAAATAGACACTCCAATCAGAATAATGAGGCTTTAACACTGTAATAAAATGGTGATGAAATCAAATAGCTTTTGATAAAATTCAGATTAAATTTAGAGGCCTGAGGCTGGAAGGGAGGACGAGCAGAATCCTCTCTTTATGAATAACAACCTGTTTGTCTCACTTATTTCCTATGTGAACTGAATGGGAGATGCTTTAATAAAAAAGGTAGAAAAGAAGGTCAGATTTTTTACTGTAATTACAAAAGGTTCTTCCTGCCTTAAAAATAGGATGAGCAGACGGCTTTGAGCAGCGTAAATAACTTTGTGGACAGTTGGTGAAACTCGGGCCGGTTTCACGCCTGACAGTCCGGCGGACTCGGTCCGACTGGGGACCAAAGCTGCGAGCCGCAAGCGGAGGGCATTCAAAGCAAAACCCATCTTCAGGAGTTTGGAATCTAAGGTGAAGCTCGTTTTTCTTATTGTGCCATATCCAGCACTAAATGACACTAAATTATTAACTGCTGCTTTTATGTATCCTCCTTGATCTGTTGACAAGCAAAACTGTCAGAGCCAGATTCATCTTTTTCTCACCGTCGCGATATTCCTGTGTCTCCTTCACAGCTTCATCTGCTCCATTAATCAAGGCTCACCTTTTCACTCGTGGTCTGCAAAGCAAATCAAGCGAGTCTCACAACAGCTCAGGGGATGCAGACACTGCCAGGTATTGAGCTACTGTAGATAATGCAAATGCTCCTCATCTCGTTTCCACACACACTCAAGACAGAGCACAACGCTGCGATGACGGAGTAGGCCTGCAGTCCCTTCAGACAGGAGCTCAGGCTCGGGACGGAGGTTCACTGAGCTCATCCGTTTCACGCAGCGGATGCTCTTATGCGTTTTGTTGATGATGAGCTGCAGCACCAGCTAAAAATATCAAGGACCCGCCGACACCCCTGCAGAGGGCCATTTCGATGATTTGAAATATTGAAGAGCGTCATAAATGTCACCAATTAGCCGCATTTTCGAGCAGGCGCCTACCTGCTCTGAAAGGGTTCGTGTTCAATGGCGCACGGCAGAGTAAGTCTTTTTTTTTATTATTTGTTATGCATTTATTTTTGTTTAATTCATTTGCTCTGATTTGACAGTCAGTCTATGTCTGTCAGACAGGAAGTGCAGCGATCATCATGTCGAATGATCAAGTTTGGCCTTGGTCACACATTTACAAAGTAGAATTTTTGCAGTAGTTTTTTTATCATTTGCTAAATGAGGCCAAGAGAAACAATTTACACATTCAGAGAAATAATGAAGGCAAGAGCATCGGCTTACGCACGCCTGCCCTACTGGCAATTATTTAGATTGTTTACAGAAAGATATAATCAAAATAAGCCAACGTAAATTTTTTCATTTTTTTATTAAATTGGAGCAAAGCAACCCAAAGCAAAACTATACATTCAGTTTAGATTTAATCACACAAAAAAAAAAAAAAACCAGAAGTGCAAGTATAGAGCCTTGGGGAGCTCCATTTGAAACACTTTAATATCTGTGAATCAGTATGTTCCCTTCTTAAACTACAATTTCAACTATAATATTTTATGAATATGGGGTTATTTGCTTTCTGTAGACATCCAGGAAAACACCTGCAGCATATTTGCTGTAGAGTAGAGGAGTTTGGTTTATTTTTGAACAAATTCCACAAGAACAAATCACTGATTTGTTTCAGATAAACATTATTTTATATGCAGCATATTGTGTGATGAAAACATTTGGCTGGAAATAATACTCTTTTTTTTCAATTTTGAAAATTACAGTACAACTAAATTCATGTGTGTCTCCATCTTTATAGTATACTGATATGATTTTAGCGTATTTTACCAGAGAAAACCAGTTTAAAGAGGCAGATTGTAAGATTTATCCAAAGGCCTTCACTGCCTTTAATTAATGCACGACAACATTGTTTTGTTAGTTCCTTTTACAAACCAATTTTTCTTCCTATGGTAGCATGTGCTAACTTGTGACCCCAAAATATACATTTTAATTTTATACCTTAATTTATTATGAATTATGCTACAGATAATAAGCCAAACAACTACATTTCCTTCCTCTGACTTTATATTATACATGATGTGTGATGCCAGGGAGAAATAAACAACTAGGTGTTGATATTAACAGCCTTTTTTCCCCCCAGGTGTTAAAATTCTCTGCTTTGAGTTTTATAAACACACCAGCCACTAATGGCCAACATCACATTTTCGTATTTATGTTTTTTCTGAGATTTTTCCCACAAAGCAAAGAAATGTCGACAACGTCATCATGACCTGCCCTTTTTTTTTTCTTTTCTTAAGATGAGAGCTTCGTAAAAATCCTCTTGAATTCAAATACCAGTTAATTGGGATTGATTAAACGCCGTCTACATTCAGCTTATTTTGGCTCAACCTCGAAAAACACAACAAAAACATTTTGTTCTCCACTAAAGCCATCAAAAACGACATGAGGTGCGTGTTGGTAAAAGTGCCGAGAGGCTTTCCATTGGTCTTGGGTGGATAAGTTCAAGTAGTGCAAAAGGAAGAAAACCCAACGACCCCGTAAGACTGTTTACATTTTTAAAGCGTTACTAATCGGAAAATCAAGAAAAAAAGACCAGAGTAGGAGAGGTAAAGGAAGGGAGAAGAAAACAGGCCTGATGCTTGTTTAAGAGCAGAAAACAGACAATCAGGCAGGAGAAACAGAGAAATGGAGAGAGAAACGGTGTGATTAGAGAGATGCACATCACTGTGTTCCCAGAGCAGAGAGGGAGCTGCAGTGAATGAAAGCAATAAATTTAAAAAACAGGCAAGACCGGATCGAGGAGGGCGAGGAACTAATTTCTTTCCAACAACAGATTATCTCTCTTGTTTTGTTTTTGTTTTTGAAGGCAAGATT